TTAGTTGAGAAATATTGGAGAAGATGTTGGACTTCTTGTTGTAAATCAAAAAGGAATTGATCAACCAAGTCTTGATAAACTTGCAGCTGCAAAAGTTATGGGATTAAGAAGAGCTAAAAGAAGAAATATGGAAAGATTAACTCTTGCATGTGGAGGAGTAGCATTAAATAGTTTTGAAAATGAAATTCCATTTGAATGTTTAGGACATGCTGGACATGTATATGAGACAGTTATTGGAGAAGAGAAATATACGTTTGTAGAAGAATGTGAACATCCAAAGTCATGTACTATTCTTATTAGAGGATCTGATGATCAAGAAATTGAACAAATTAAAGATACAATTAGAGATGGATTAAGAGCATGTAAAAATGCTATGGAAGATGGAGGAATAGTTTTAGGAGCAGGAGCATTTGAGTTACAATGTTGGAAAGAATTAAAAGAATTTGCTAAAAGTGTTAAAGGAAAAGCAAAATTAGGAGTTGAAGTAATGGGAAATGCAATGTTAATTATACCAAAAACATTAATAGAAAATAGTGGATATGATGTTATTGAACGATTATATGAATTAGAAGATAATATTTTAGAAGGAAAAATTGGAGGAGTTGATATTGAAACAGGAGCATTTAAAGAAATAGATGATATTTGGGATGGAATTAGAGTTAAGAAACAAATGATTCAATTAGCCAGTGTACTTGCATCTCAATTAATGTTAATTGATGTTGTAATGAGGTGTGGATCAGCTAAGAATCGACCTGCAGGAGCTGATGCTGGACAATTTAATTAAAAATTTAACTCAACACATACGATACATTAGTTTTATTTTTAATATTACTTAAAATCGATTTTTATAATAAGTTTTAAATCATAATAGTTTTCATTTTGATTTAAATTTCAATTATTTAAATGATAATAATAATTTTTTTAACGTTTATTAGTAATTAAATCAATTACTTATTATAAATACAATTGAATATCTGTTTATTTTTCTTGAATATCTTAACTGGTTATTAATAAAAAAAGTATCAACACAAAATATAGAAAATAATTTACATAGTTTTGATAATGATTATTAAAGAATAATGTAAATAAACTAATACTCATTTATAATTTAATTTTTTAATAATTCAGAATCAACATATAATTTTATCAATACCAAATATAGATGAGGAAAGACATAACTTCTTGCCTTTAAAATAATATAAGTAGTTTTTTATGACACTCTTTTTTTCATTTAATAAAGAGTGAAACTAACAAAATTAGTTGTGATGGAGTATTTTTATACTTTCAATACAAAATTTATCAAAGTTAATAAAGACTAACTATGAGTTTTCTATGTTAAGGAAATAAACATTATTTGAATAAATTTTATATGGAAGTGTAGAAAAAGACAAGGATAAAATTTGATTTGTGATTGATGTAACTCAACAATAATTATTTATTTAGAAAGTATCTTACAAAAGACTTTTTGTTGTATGGTGGTTTTTATCAAATGAGTAATTTTGTCTTTTAAGAATAGTTATTTAATTTAAATCAAGTTTAGAACAAGGTTTGGTAAAATATTTTTTCCAAGATAATCATGAAAAGTTTATAAGACTAGACACAAATCAACGACTATTGGTTAAAGTCATTTAAAATAACTTCTTATTGCTTGCAAATTATAAACTTATTAGTAATGACAAGAAAAAATAAATTAAGTACAAAGTATAAAATAAAAGTATTAAATAATAGCTAATTCTCTGATACAATTATATACCTATCAACTAATATAAAATGACTTATTAATTTTTTACTGAAAGAAGCTCGTTAAGTTAAATGAAAGTTTTCTTAATTATCTTTGTTTGAATTTCATTTGAAAAATAAACTAAAAAGAATGTGAAAAATTCTTGGTTATTTAGGTGGTGGATTGTTGTTAATTGGTAAGAAGTTTCTCTTTTTCTCAGCCCCAGAACGATCACTTCGGTCAATTCTTTCTGACCTATCGTGAATGTCTGTATTTAAACGAGGGTCTCGTTCAATAGGTGGTCGATCAATTGGAATACGTGGATCTCGGTCTAATGGTGTTCTTTCTAAAGGAGGTCGGTCAATTGGTGCTCTTGCATCAATAGGAGGTCTGTCTATGGAAGCTCTTGGATCTAAAGGAGGTCTGTCCATAGGAGGTCTATCTAATGGTGCTCTTGGATCCATACGAGGATCACGTTCTAATGGGTTACGCTCGAATGGAGCACGAGGGTCTCCCATATATCTTGGGTCACGAGAGAAAGGGTCACGCTCATACCTAGGATCAGATAAATAACGAGGATCTCTAAGATAGCGATTGTCATACCGAGGGTCGAACCTAGAATCCATAAGACGTGGGTCACGAAGATCCCTAGGGTCGTTAAGAGGAGGTGGTCGAATGTCTGTTAGCCCGACACGTTGGGTTCTGTCTACTTGAGGACGACTTTGAAGGTCTTGTGGAGTGCGTTCGGAGACTTTGTCCAGAGATGGTTTAGTGTCAATAGGTGGACGGTCAATAGAAGCACCCCGTTCGAGGGGTGTACGTTCATTTGGTCGTTCTAGTTGTTGAATGCCACGTTCCAAACGATCATAACGAGTGTCATAGTTAAGTCGAGGGTCAAGTCGAGGATCATTCCTCATATCAATTCTAGGGTCAGTGGTATTGTCATATCTAGGATCATACCGATCATACCTTGGATCATATCTAGGATCATACCGATCATATCTTGGATCATATCTCATATCAAATCGTTCAAAACGAGGGTCATACCTTGGGTCAAAGCGTGGGTCGAATCTAGATGATGAATATCTTGGGTCGAAACGAGGATCATCATAATAAGGATCATCATAACCTCTAGGATATCTTTGATCTCGATTGTCTTTGTCATAACCAAAAGGATAAGGTGCAGGATAACGTGGAATAGGTTTCATTGGTGCTGGTTTTTTAGTTTGGTCAATAGCTGTTTTAACATCCCGTGGAAGTTCACTAATTCCATTGAATGGTTCTTTTTGTTGATATCCTGTTGTATTTGTTGTTTGATAATATGGATAATCACTTGGTTGTCTATTATCAATATTTTTTAAAAATGGTTCACTTGACCGAAATAAAATTGAATCAGGTCCTTTAGTTAATCCACTTGATGAATAAAGCCATCTATTTAATGTATCAAACATTGAAGAACATCGATTTGGATCTACTCCATATGCATTTGATACATCTTTAGTATATTGTGTAATATCTCGAATTTTTGATGTTTTTTGATAGATTTCAAAGACAGGTTTTACAAACAATGTATAATATGCAATGAATAAATGTTTGTTAGCACCTCTCATTCGATATTTATGTATGTTCCCAAGATATTCATTATAATTAATTCTCTCATTTATTTTCTCAACATTCCGCTTATTCCCTTGATTTGCTATTTCTCCCCCTCTTTCTCTTCTCTCTTGTTTCATTTCTTGTGTATTATTACTTTTTTGCTCTTGAGGCTGTTTAATTAACATAGACACTCTATTTGTTCCTACTGCTGCTTGTGGTTTATAAGGTGTGTTCCAATCAGTATTTTTATTGACTACAAATATAAATGGGTCTCCTCCGTTATTAGGCTGTATTTCAGAGGCTGACATAACGAATTATATAACAAGATCTGTTTTACTACCTTTTATACAGGTTATAACTACAAAATATCCAGGTATACAATAAAATGAAAAATAATCAATTCTTTCTTTTTTTTTGAAGGGTTTTTGTACAAAAGAAAAATTTCTTTATTCTATTGATTTTTCTCTTTTCTTGAATTTATTATAAATCGTTATATATAACAATAATACAATAGAAGAAGAATTTGTTGTTATTAATTTAAAAGAATTAAAAATAAATCGTCGAGTTTTTATAAGAGTAATAAAAGAATAGTAAATTTTTCAAAAAAAAAAGTTGAAGTTCAGTAGAATTAATTATCTGAGAGCATTCCAAGAAAATTATTGAAGATTTAAAAACAAATCAAGTCTGAGTATTACAGTAAGATAAATGAAATCAAGAACTAAAAAAAAGAGAATAAAAAGAAAAAAAACTTCAAAAAAGATGATGTGGAATAATCTATATATTCTATCTAATTCTGGAATAGTTACATAAGAGGAAGTAGAATGAAGAAGTGGGAGTGTCAGAAAAAAAAAAAAAAACAAAAAAATAAGAATAGAGCAAGAAGAAAATAAAAAGAAGAGATAAACCCTTTACAAGTAAAGTCCACGAGGATCCACGAATATTATGATTTAAATAGGGTAGATGAAAAAACTAACATCATTACAATGCAATTTGAGCCACTCTTCAATCCAAAATCAGTTGCCGTTATTGGTGCATCTGACAGAAAAGAATCTGTTGGATATGCTGTTATGAATAATATGATTAAAGGAGGATATAAAGGAAATTTATATCCAGTTGGAAGAAAACCAGAACTTTTTGGAAAGAAATGTTATGCTAAGATTGGACAAATTGAAGAGAAAGTAGATCTTGCAGTTATTGCTATTCCAGCTAAATTTGTACCAGGTGTATGTATTGAATGTGGTGAAGCTGGTGTTAAAGGACTTATTATCATTACTGCTGGTTTTGCTGAAGCTGGAGAAGAAGGAAAGAAAATGTGTATTGAAATTCAAGCAACTTGCCAAAAATACAACATGAGAATGATTGGTCCAAACTGTCTTGGTATTATCAATCCAAGAGACGGAGTTAATGCATCATTTGCTTCAGTTATGCCAGAAGCTGGAGGAGTTGCCTTCATTTCACAATCAGGAGCCCTTTGTACTGCTATTCTTGATTGGGCTGCTAATCAACATGTTGGATTCTCATACTTTGTTTCAATTGGATCATCAATTGATACTGATTATGCTGATCTTTTTGAATTCTTTGCTAAAGATCCAAAAGTCACTTCAATTCTTATGTACATTGAATCAATTAAAGATGCTAAGAAATTTGTCTTAAGAGCTCGTGAATTTGCTGCTGACAAACCAATTATCTTACTTAAAGCTGGTAAATCATCAGAAGGAGCTGCTGCTGCTATGTCACATACTGGATCACTTGCTGGAAATGATGCAGTTTATGATGCAGTCTTTGATAGATGTGGATGTATTCGTGTAGATTCAATTTGTGATCTTTGGGATTGTGCTCACGTCCTTGCTACCCAAAATATTCCACAAAATAACAGACTTTGCATTATTACTAATGCTGGAGGACCTGGTGTTATTTCAACTGATAGACTTGTTTCAGTTCATGGTCATCTTGCTAAACTTTCAGAATCTACTATGAATGAACTTAATGCATTCCTTTCACCATTCTGGTCACATTCTAATCCAGTTGATGTTCTTGGTGATGCTACTGCTGGTGTTTACCAAAAGACTCTTGATATTGTTATTAAGGATCCACAAATTGACGGAGTTGTTGTTGTCTTAACTCCACAAGCTATGACTGATCCAGTTGCTGTTGCTAAATCATTAGTTGAACATGGACCATATCAAAAACCAGTCCTTGCCTCATGGATGGGTCAATCAGAAGTCGAAGCTGGTGTCAAGATTCTTGAAGAAGGAAAGATTCCAAACTTTGAAACACCAGAAAGAGCTGTTACTGCATTTGGTTATATTATGAGACATCCAGACATTGCTGCTAAATTAAAGGAAATTCCAAAATATCTTGATGTTCAAGTTGATTATGAAGGAGCTAAGAAACTTATTGCTGATGTTGTTGCTGATGGAAGAACAACATTCACTGAATATGAAGGAAAGATGATGTTCTCTAAATATGGAATTCCAATTAAAGGTATGGCTAAAGCCTCAACTGAAGACGAAGCAGTTGCTGAAGCTATGAAAATTGGAACACCAGTTGTCATGAAAATTCTTTCACCAGATATTATGCACAAGACTGATGTTGGAGGAGTTAAAGTTAAATTAACAACTGAAGAAGAAATTAGAAAGGCTTACAGAGACATTATGACATCTGTTAAAGAAAAGAAACCAGAAGCTAGAATTCATGGAGTTCTCCTTGAAAAGATGGTTGGATTTAAATATGAATGTATCATTGGATGCAAGAAAGATCCATTATTCGGTCCAGTCATTGTCTTTGGTATGGGAGGTGTTACTGTTGAATTATACAAAGATACTAATATTGCTCTTCCACCAATTGGATTACAAGAAGCTGATAGACTTATTGATGGAACTAAGATTTCTAAATTATTAAGAGGATACAGAGGAATGCCAGCTTGTGATGTTGAAGGACTTAAGAAGATCCTTGTCCAATTCTCAAAGATGATTATGGACTTCCCAGAAATCTCAGAAGTTGATATTAATCCACTTGCTGTCTCTTATGAAGAATTCCTTGTCCTTGATGCTAAGATTGTCTTAGACAAGAATATGATTGGTAAGGAAGTACCAAAGTACTCTCACCTCGTCATCCAACCATAAATTGACCACTTTTCGTGTTAAATTTTCTTTATTTTTTTTGAAATTACTCTTTTTACATGTCTTATAAAAATAGTATATATATTCATATTTTTCTTAATAATTGAATATTTAAAAGAATTAGAGAATCATATTAAAAAAATAGATATTCTTGATAAAGACAAGTACAGAACCAGACATTTCTAATGTTGTTGTTTTTGTATTAGTACTTTTAGATTATTTAGTGTAATCATTTCTAAGTCATATTCTTTATCATTTGGTCATTCAAATAAAACACTTTATGAAGTGCATTATTTGTTATATTACTACAAACAACCCATTTCAATTTAAAGGAATTGAAAATGCACATTGTAAAAACAAGAGTAAGTCAAATCACACCTAAATGAATGGGTGGATTGTTATAATTGAAATAAAAACAAAGACACAATGATGAATGTTTACTAAACATGATTTTTTTTTGAATTTGTTTGTTTTTAATTTACATGAAAGAAGTAATGTTGTTATTTCAATTGGTTGTCATAATCAAATTTCAATTTAAAAATAAAGTAAGAACAAATCAAGAAAGAATGAAACAAAAAGCAAGAAGGCCCCGTAGCACAGTCGGTAGTGCATCGTACTTATAGAAAAGAGAAATGCGAGGGTCGCGGGTTCGATCCCCGCCGGGACCATTTTTCTTTTTCTTTAAACAAAATTAAAACATTATTGACAGTATCAAATGAGAATTACTATTTAATAATTGTTTGATTAATAAACAACCTGCTTATTGAAATAGAATAAATGTGCTTGTATGTTTTAATTTTTTGTTATAATTCTGTTGATTAATTAATTAGTAAAAGGAAATTACTATTATACAAACACTTTTAATAAATGTTGTAAATTAAAACACTGAAATAAAATATATTTCATTAACTTATTTGTTTGCTAATACTTTATTCCAAATAAATAATAAGAAATTTGATGGAGTTGAACTAAACTCTTAATGCAAAATTAAGAAAAATTATCATTATCACATTTCATCCTAACATCATCTTTTTATATTCGTTATGTGTCATTGACCAAAGTTGTTCTAATACTAGTGACATTATTTATATTTGATTAACTTGACTATTGCATCCTTTTTTGTCATTTTCAAATTCCAAAAATCTTGTGGGTTAATGAATCAGGATGTCATTCATGTGACTGATATAAACAATAAGTATTAACAAAATATTATAATAATTTTATTGTCGATTCATATTTATTTCACATGACAAACAAAGAATATAAATGATAAGAAATATTAGAGTAATAAAAACTGAAAATATACTAATTATTTACAAAAAGAAATAGAAATGATGCTAAATGTAATAATGAGATATATTAATCCATTCAGCATTTTGTTAACCAATAAGTATTTATTTATATGTTATTAATAAATAATGTTTAAAAGATGGTAATGATTATAAATAACATAATAATGTGAAATGAAGATGGTTTGTTCAAATAGTTTTATGTTCACTTCTTTTTGATCGAATCACATGACATTCATGGTATTGTTGAATAACAACTTGTAATTAATATACTCTTTGAATTATTATATCAATTTATTTATGACTGTTAATCATAACATCATTATTAGTAACAAACATCAGTTATTTACTACCACAATAATCAACAAATTTCAATTTAATATTATAACATTAGTAATGCCATTGATATAAAAACCAAATCTTTATTTAATTAAATAAAAAATAATATAACTCACTACAATCCATTTCTTCTTATTATTAGTAAAAACATTTTACCAACTTACTTAAATGTCTTTCTTATAATAACTCAAGTTATAACAAATATTTATTGAAAAAGCCATTAACTTGTATATTGAATTGACCACATATAATCATGAAAAATAAAGGATAGAAACTATGTTAGTAAGATGAAATAACAATACCAATGAGTGTATTTAAACATAAACTCTAACACTTTTCAATGACTCATTAAATACCTATTCTATTCAATAACTCAAATTATAAAAACCATCTTACTAAAAGAGAAACACCCTCACTCTTAGGAATTTTGTTTATTAATAAGACTCATAAATAAGTCATAAATTATGTCTGTTATCAATAGTCTATGCTGTTTGTAATGAGACAAAATATAAAAAGATATTAAATTAAACTAATACTAAAAATCAGTCAATTAGAAAGGTTCTTCAATTCTTCTTCTATAACAAGCTCCCCATTTTTGTCTTTGTTCTCTATCAACTTTTTTAGCTTCTTCTGTTTTGAACATTACAATATTTAAATAATCATCAGTATAATCATCTGGCATTCGTTCTAATAGTGGTTGTTGATCCAAACTTTGTGTATTCCAATCAAAGAGTTCTTTTACATCAGATGCTGTGTACAACATTCCCTCTCCTGGTTTTAAGAGATAAACATACATAGCAGCAAAATGTGGATTAATTATTCTTCTTCGCTTTACTGAATTTTTAAAATGAGGGTCAGGAAATGTGATGAATATTTTCAACAATTGACCTTTAACAAAGTAATTATCAACATATTTCATACAATTACATTGAATAATCCAAACATTCTTTAACTCATTTTTTTCTCGTGCAGCTTGAATCTTTTCTAATCCGTATTGAACTGCTGGGTCTCGAATTTCCATGCCAAGGACATTTTTCTCTTGAATCATTCCTACCTCTCTAACTAATCCTCCCCAACCACATCCAATATCAAGCATTTCTGCTGGTTTTCCATTTGGGAAATATAATTTCCAATCAAGAGATTGTGGTGTAATTGGATTTGTTGATGGACTATCAGCAAGAGGATTTCTGTGTGCATGAACTCTGTGGAAAGGCTTAATACCCTTCTTTTTCTTTATTATTGAGTTATGTGAATGTTCTGTTGTTTGATGTTCTGAAGACATAGAATGGTGGAATATGATTTTGAGATCATCTAAGAAAAACAAAACACTTAAAATGAAAAGAGATTACATACTTATTCAACAACTTAAAAAAATCTACAATAATCTTCCAAACTCTAAATTGTATAATAGTTATGATACTAGCAAAATTAAATATATAGACATTCAACCTCTTTCTATGGAAAAAATTGAAGTTATAGAATTAGATGAAAATCCCCAGAATAATGAAACAGAAATCTTATTAGATCAATCTCCTTTTACTTCTCAAAATAACAATCCAATGAAAAGTACAGTATCAGATTTACTATTACTTCAACCACCAGCGTACATCACAAACAATACTAAAACACAACTATTAACCAATCAATTAACATCAACAAATAGTGTTATTCCTAATATTTCTTCAAAACAACTACTTCCTACAAATGGAAATATTCTTCCACCTTCATCAATCCATCCAGTATTAAAGGTTAGAAAAAGTGATTCAAGAATGAAACAACTTAAGTTTGATATACAACAACCAAATATAAATACTATTAAAAAAGATTCTGATGTTCTAACTCAAACTACAAAACAACCATCAAAAAAGTCTAATGTATTTAATATTGATTTAAGTCTAATACAAGAAAAACCAATAGTTATTGATGATGATAATGACTCTTTTATTCAAATCAATGACAAAGGAGAAGAAGTTATTGATTTATCAGCAATAGATCAAATTAGCCAAGATGATGATACTAAAACAAAAGATTTGATTAAAATTCTTGAATCTGAAGTTCATAATTATTCAACAATTCATTAAACTTCATTTTCTTTTTGATTATATTCTTTAAATTCTTCGTAAAAATTCTTCAATTAAACAACCAAACACATTATTAGAGAATAGTTAATTCTCCTCTAAGATTCGATTTAATATTATTTCTTACTTCATCTGGTGTCATTCCTTGAGCAAGTAACCATGTTAATTTACTGAATGCTGCTTCAATAGTCATATCTCCACCACTAACAACACCAATTGATTTATATCCATATGCTGCACTATAATCATCTAAGTCAACTCTTCCCATATGACATTGTGTTACATCAACAATAACAACTCCTCTTTGAATTGCTTCTCTCATAGGTTTTAAAAAGTTTTCTTTATCAGGACCATTGCCTGCACCAAATGCTGCTAATATTACACCTCTCACATTATTATTTAAAACTGCTTCAATAAATGTTGATGTAATCCCTGGATGAAGATAAATAATAATAACACCATCTGTAACAGTAGGAATAAATCTCATTGGCTCATTAGCATATGGATTAACATGTGGCCAATCAACAAGAATTTCAGCACCAAACATTGCCAATGCTGGATAATTAGCAGAGTCAAACCCCTCATAACTATTTGCTTTTAACTTTTGAACTCTATTTCCTCGATACAAATGTCCTCCAAAAGTAACAACAACTTCTGGAATTGGAATATCACCAGCAGTTGTTAATGCACTTAGTAAATTATTTGTAGCATCAGAATATGGTTGACATAATGGTGTTTGTGCTCCAGTAACTACAATTGTCTTATTCAAATTCTCAAACATAAATGAAAGAATACTTGAAGTATATGCAAGGGTATCAGTTCCATGTAATACAACAAATCCATCATAATCATTATAATTCTCATTAATTACAACTGCCATTCTTACCCAATCTTTTGGTGTCATAGCTGATGAATCAAGTAATGGATTTAATTCAATAATATCATAATATGGTAATGTTTCACTTTGGAATTGTGGCATTTCTCGCATCAATGATTGAAGATATCCAGGTTGTGGTTCCCATCCTTGTTTTCCTTGTTTCATTCCAATTGTCCCACCTGAATAAACAATAAGAACATGTTTTGGGTTATGTGTTGCTTGTACAATTGAAAATAATAAAAGAATATACAAGAAGATCATTTCGTCTAACTATTCAAGTTTTCTTTTTTTTTATCCAAACTTATCAATCAGAATGGTTAAGAAATCCATAGAAAATCTTTTTTATTGACGAATATTCTAATTATTTCTTTAATTCTTTTTTGTATTACTTTATTAGTTGATAAGTATTTTGGATTTATATAGTTTTAGTCAAACCTTTATTGCAAATAACATTATTTTTAAATTACAATTTATTATTTTTAGAAATAATGTTATATAAAAATAAAAACTCATTTTAACTAAATAAAAATGAAAAAAAACTTAAAACTTGAATCCCAAAGACAAATATGAAAAGAGGAAGTAATTGTAAGAAAGGGAAGACTGATATAACTGATTTTTTTCAAACAAAAAAAACAACCCAACCCCAAACAATTTCTAGTAATGAAGTATGGGAACATCCTTTATTTAAATACTTAACTGATCCAGGATGGAGACAAGTTTTAGAACCTGTATTTAAGAAGTATGTTAATAATAAAGAAATATTAAATATAGCTGCAATATACGAAAAAGAAAATATTTATCCACCAAAAGAGTTAATTTTCAATGCCTTTAATGTTACACCATTCGAACAGGTAAAAGTTGTGATTATTGGACAAGACCCTTATATTAAAAAAGGTCAAGCTCATGGATTATGTTTTAGTGTAAATAAAGGAATTGCTATACCTCCATCATTAAAGACAATTTATAAAGAATTAAAACGAACAATACCAGAATTTCAGATTCCAAAACATGGGTATTTAATGGAATGGGCAAAACAAGGAGTATTAATGCTTAACGCGACATTAACAGTAAAAGAAGGAAAATCTAATTCTCATGAAAAATTGTGGAAGAATTTTACAGACGATATTATCAATGTTCTTTGCCAAAAGAAAGAAGGTCTTGTCTATCTTCTTTGGGGAGCTTTTGCACAAAAAAAAGCCAGTGGTGTAGATTCAACAAAGAATTGTTGTTTGAAAGCACCACATCCATCTCCATTAGCAAAAGGAGGTTTTGACAATTGTAATCATTTTATACAATGTAATGACTATCTTAAACAAATAGGAAAAGAGCCAATCAATTGGGTGTTAACACCATGAATGAATTTAGTTAGTGAGTATTTTTTAATATTAAAATTTTAATAATTAAAATAGTAAAAACATATATTAAATATTATTAGTTCATCTATAGACTCTGAAAAGAAAAACAAAGAAATTTTAGTTCTTTTAATATGAGTGAAGAAATAACGAATCTTGCGGGTGGTATTCATGAATTAATTCTTAATTGTATTAGAAAATTACTTGAACTTGGAGTTCCTTCACCAAATGATCTTTTTGATGAAATAAAGGAATTAACAGAAGTTAATGTAAAAGAAATGATAAAATCAACTAATGTACATGAACTTCGTGACTTATTGATTTATTTACTTGTTCATTCATCACCAATTTTTCCTGAGATATATAATAACAATGCTATTTTGATTATGAAGAATAATTTATTAATTCAAAAACATCAGTTACGGGCATTATTATATTTCATTCCAATAGAACAAAGAGAAATATTATATTCATTATTTGAATTTCTTCATTTAAGTCGGATACCAATAGAAAAAATTGTTCCAGTCTTTACTAAGATAATTTTTAAAACATCTACTAAGTTTCAGACTAAATTCTCAATGATTCTTTCAGTATATATTGAACATTATAATTTTATGTCATTTCAACTAAGTCAAAATGTACCTAATAGTGTTATTGTGTATGAATTAAAAGCAAGAACAATTAGTTCTTTTCCACCTGAGTATAAATCAGGATTTTTAGAAGTTCCTGCAAATGCTGTGATTGAAATAATTGCTATTAATACACCAGAATGGATTATTGGTAGGTATAGAGAAGGTTTAAATCAAAGTAATGAAGAAACAGAGATTTGTGGTTTTATTGCTATTTCATTTCTTAAACTAATTCCTGAAAAATTTACTCTCCCAGATAGAGCAAAAATAGATCTTATTGAAGAAGTTACTCCAAAGATTATGGTTACAAGAAGAAGTGATGCAACTAAATCAAGACATTCTACATCTCTTGTTATGTCACAAACGATTTATTGTGAAATTTGTTTTAAAGTACCTATTGAAAATCCATCTAAATGTGAATTTTGTGCAAAACATATTCAACCACGGTGTTGTTATGAATGTCTTATTTCATTAGAGTGTTTAAAAAATGCTAAATGTCCTTTATGTGGACATGAATTAAATAAAAAATCAAAAATAATACCAACAAATCCTATTCCAGAAAGAGTTATTACTCCTTCAAATTCGCCAGTTATTGAAAAGAAATGGAAAAACAATTATAAAATAAGTGTACTTGGAATAACTGGAGTAGGAAAAACTTCACTTATTGTTCATTATGTTTTTGGAAAATTTGTTGAACAAAAAGATAATACTATTGCTGATATTTATAGAAAAACTTCAATAGTTAATGAAGTTCCTTGTCTTATTCAAATTAGTGATTTTGATGATAAAAAAGCTGATGGATTTATTTTAGTTTATTCAAAACAAATAGAGAAGTCTCTTGAATATGTTATGGACATGGAAAAGAAATTAACATCAAAATATAAAAGATTTGTCATTGTTAGAAATGATTTTAAAGAAACACCAGAAGATAATGACATTTGTTTTCATCATGTGTTTAGTGTTAATGCAACAACTTCAATAGATAACTTCGGTCGAGCAGTTGAAGAATTGATATGTGATATTAGAGCCATAGAGTCTAGACCAAAGAAGGTGAGTAAATGCAATATTCAATAAGTTCTAATGTATTTTTATTTCAAGGTTATTGTACTGGTTTAAATATTCTTTCAATATATTTTACGCTTTTATGACTAGACTTATTTTTTTACTTGTTCAAAATAAATAGACCAAGTAATAACCATAGATAAAATAAGTGTTAAAATCAAAAAGTATATTTAAAATATATTTGTTTTATAGAAAAGAAATTGATTTAATAAATAAAAATTGATTCAAGAAGAATTACATGAAGTCATAATCATCTTCATCATCATAATAATCATCTTCGAGTTGGTCTTCTACTCTTTCAGTATATTTCTTTCCAGTTGTAGCAGGTTTAGCTAAATTCTTTTTACCTCCTTTCTTTTTCTTTTTATCAGCTTCTTTCTCTATTTGAACTTGTTGGTTAAAAAGTACTTCCATATAAGCACTTAATTCTTTAATTTCAACACTTGTTAAATCATTAGTTAATTCTCTCATACATTCTTTAACAAGTAACTTATATTGTTTTGACTTTTCTTTATAAAGAGAGTGACCTTTTAATCCTAATAATTTACCATACTTTTGGAAATCTTTATCAGTAATGACTGACATAGTATCTAATTCATGCAAATCATCAACACCTTGATATAATCTTTCTGCCCCTTTAATATCTGACTCTTCTTGTTGTCTTCTCAAGGCTAATGCCTTTTCTTCTTCAGTCATTCCTTCAGTTGGGTCGACGTACTCTTCTGCAACTTTTACATTATTTTTCTTTGCCTCTTTCAATTCCTTATTACTAACAATTTTTGTTTCTTCTTTAGTTTCTGGTGCTAAAGCTGCTAATGTAGAAGTAGTTTCTCCAAAATCAGGTTCTTCTGCAATATCAAAATCTTCCCAAGACATAACCAATAACTTTTCAAGATACCCTTGAAATCTCTTAATTTATTGTTTCATATTCATTTAAATTAATATTTACTAATCTTATTATTAATTTATTTTTTATAATTTATTTTGTTTTTGAATAACAAAAAAAAAGATTATAAGATACTTATTTTAGTATTTTAATTGAATTAGTTAAACATTGAAGCAACAACTCTCTTTGGAATTGGTCTATCCTCATCAGAAACAGCATCAAATAATGTAAATTTTTGTTCTAAACTTTCATCCACTTTCATAATAGAAGCAATATTACCACAACGTGAACAATAATTTGGTGCGGACCACACTGTGACCAATTTATTTTCAAATTGATATTTATATCCTTCCATAACTAATTGGTGTGCACGAGCAATCAATTGTATATTGTTAATTTGACAAAAGTCATCAACTGGTTTCTTTCCAAAAAGATACCCAGCTCCTCTTGAACTTACTCTCATTCCTTTTTCATTCTCTTCAGGATCAGACCACATTAAGTCACAGAAAGATCCCTCATGTGGGACTTCTTCATTACGATCAATACAATATCTAATTTGATCTATTGTTCTTAATGTAGGTGAAAGTCCTCCATGGACACAATAAATAGAATTATCAATAACAGCAGCAACATTAAAATAATCAAATACATCCATGAAAATAGTCCAAGCAGCAGGATTGCCATACTTTTGAATGCACTCATCATAAAATCCATAGTCTTGAGTAATCATTCGTGTTTCGTGATTACCTCTCAACAAATGAATTCTATCTGGATATTTTACTTTATGTAATAATAAAAATGTAATAGTTTCTATTGAATATATTCCTCTATCAACATAATCCCCCATAAACAAATATTGAACATCTGGAATATTTCCTCCAATTTCGAAAAGTCGTAATAAGTCATAGAATTGACCATGAATATCTCCACATACTGTTACAGGTGTTTTAATTTCAAGAACATTTGACTCTAATGCCATAATTGCTTTTACTGTAAAACATAATTCTAATAAATCGTGTTCACTTAGAACATCACCACCTTTCACTTGTTCTATACACTTATCAATATCCATAAAACAACTAAGTTAACTTTAATTTAGTTTTCTAAGATCTGGTTAGTTCAGAAAAAGATAGTTTGCTTTCAATACTTTTTCTTCAAGCCATCCTTTTAATACCAAGAAGTTAATTATACTTAAATAGAAAAAATAAGATATTTTTACTATAATTTATTAGTTAAATACGAAGGGTTTTTATAAAATGTTTTAAATAACATATTTTTTATAATTAAAAATCAATTACTTTCATTTTCATTCACAAATAAAGTAAATGGATGAAGTGGGTGTGCATCAGAAGCTTCTAAAGTTGAAACAAGAGCAGGGAGTGGAGCATCTACATCAATATAATCAAATTGTAAATTTCTAAAAGTAGCTTCAGCTAATCCTGGAGTAGCAAACAAAGCATAAAGTTCAGCAGTTCTCATTGATAACATTGGATAATCATCTATTTTTCCAATCAATTTACATAATGTCAGTTTAACTTTAGAATTTTGACCAATAGCTTGTCCTAATTTGCAGTACAATGAAAGAAGAGAAATTTGCAAATATTCTGGATAATTTGAATCTTCAAAAGTTTGTGGATCAACTTCTGCAAGTAAGAATTCAATTTCTGCTGGTTTAATGAAATGAGCATTTTCACCAACTAATAAACACAAATGATTTGCAAATTCTGTTTGGTAAGAATTTTCTACAAAATCAGCACTTTTTAATAATCCATCTAAAGCAGCAACTAAAACACTCAAAATACATGGAGCAGCTTTAATCATCACACTCAATGCTGAAATAAATGTTTCTCTTACACCCTTCATAAATTGGGTATCAGGATAAAGACAATCATATCGTGAGATAATTTCTTTTACAATCTTTAATGCCTCACTCTCACTATTATAACGAACACTTACAGCTTGGAAGAAAACTCTAAGTAAAGCTGGAACACATTTAGTTGCAGCTTTTACTCTTCCACTATTACGTTCTGGTCTACGAAGAAGTTCTTCTAATTTACTTCGATATTCTCCTTTCCATAAATGATTTCCTTCATATGTAGTACGATAAAGATAGTTATAAGCAAATTGATAGTTTTCTACTTTCTTTTCATAATCAACAGTTCCTGGTGGTATGAGAGTTAATAACAATGCTATGATTGGAAGATCTAAAATGTAATGTAACACTGATGATGCATTACCATTACCAATGAATAAATAAAGAAGAGGAAGAACATCTCGTTGGATTGAGGTTGAATGCATTGCAATAGCAGTAAATGGAAAGAATATTGATTCAGTTGATAATGCAATTGAATGTTTTTTAATTATTCTTAAAGTTTCACTAACTAAAAGAATATCAGAAAATCCATTGTTTTTCACAAGAAATTCAGTAATAAAACTATTTACTTTTTGTGCATTACTTTGAACAAATTCAGATGATATCATTAATGTTGCATCAAGAAATGAAAGAGCAACAAATGGATCAATATGTTCTGCTTGTATTTTAATTGATTGAAGAACAGAAGAAACATTATGACTAAGAGATGGTTGACGAACAGCAATTATTCCAAGTAAACGAACCATTTCATGGTAAATGACGGCATGAACAGGTTGTATATTTTGAATACGAAGGAATTGTTGCATGACTTGATTGACATAAGAAATAGTTGTTTCACATAATTGAACTGATATATTCACTTTAGAAATATATTGAATTAAATCAGATACAATTTGATGATGTTGAGACATATGAGTAGTATATAAATTTCTTGAAGAAATATTCATTACAGTAAATATTGGAGTATTACTAATTTTACCATCTTGTTCTTGAATTTGTAATGATAATTTATTTGGATTAAATTCTAATGTACCTGATGTAACATTCATTTGAAGATATCGAGTAATAGTAGAGTCTACTTGTGCTATTTCTGTTTCAGAAATTTTTTCTCTACAACAAACAGCAAATAATACAGGAATAAGTTGGTTATTAAGTAATTTATTATCTGTAGCTAATAATGAAATAATGTTTGTTGGTGTAATATGATTTGCAACAGGAAATCCTTTACGAAGATTATAAATAATAAAGAAAATATCACTTGTTGTTCCAGAAAATGATAAATTCATTTCTGGTAATGTGTACAATGACTCAGCAGCAATATATTTTAATAATAAAGGTGATTTTTCATTAGCAAGTTCATTTAATAAACATTTAATGATAGATGGTGTAGCTCCTGTTCCATAATTTAATAAGATTGGTAATAATCTTCTATACTCAAGAAGCTTATCTTTACTTCTATTCATTTTCATTAACTGTTCAAATCTTCCTTCAGTAGTTAATGGTTGTTGTCTACTCATAAGTTATTTCAATAATCAAGTTATTTTATTTTTTTTTTGAGTTCTAAAGCCTTTTAGAAAATATAATTACTTTTTTATAAAAATTATTATTCTTCTTATTTTTCAGCTTTTCCTTCCTTTTCTTTCAACAAATACCAGAATATGCATTAAAAATCAATCAATGTAATTTCACAATGGATATTCCATTCACAGCATTTTCTGTTTTATTCCAATCACCTAGTCTATACCTCTTTCCTATTGCACAAACTATGGCTGAATGGTCTTTTGTAACATCAATAGAATTAACACATCCCCCAACATTAACCTCACCCAGAAGTTCTAATGAAAGTGTTTCTGAGGATTTAAATGAAGTGGGCATGTTTATTTTCCACATTTTTACTATTCCTTCTACTCCTCCACTGAAGATAACATCACTATATTGAATAGCACATAATGCTGTGACTTGTTTATGTGCTGCTTCTAATATATATTTTGGTGTTTTCTTTGATACTATGTAAACTGACAATGTTCCATCAAAAGATCCAGCAATATATGTTGTTTCATTTAGTAAACTTACACATTCAATTTCATTATAAGCATTATAAATTAATTGAGACTCTTCTGCTACTTTAAAGATTCTCATAGATTTATCAGAAGAACCAGTAACACAACGCTCTTTAGATAATGCATCAATACAATTAATATTTGATCTATGTCCATACAATGTATCCATTAAACTAATATTTTCAATATTCCATACTTTAACACTTCTATCATAACTACAACTATATAATTCATATGTTCCATCTCTAAAAACACATGAAGTAACAATATCTTGGTGACCTTTAAGTGTTCCAAGTAACTGATTATTAGAAGAGTCATAAATAAGGATATGATGATTTTTAGTTGTAGCTACAATATATTTATTATCATGACTAATTGCTAATGATAAAATTTCAGGTCTTATTTTTGTTTTATCAATACAAGGAACAGTAAGTTCTCCACAATATTGATTAGTAATTATATCATAAATCATTATTTTACCATTTAATGATGCTACATACACTTTATTTTGATCATTTTTATTTATTTTAACAGCTGTACATGCTTTATTTAAATGTCTTGTTGTTTTAGTTATAACTGTAGAACTTAAATGAAGATCATCTGAAAGTGATGTTTGTTTTTTGCTTTGATCAATTGATTCATTAAATAATGTTTCTAATACACTTTTAGGTTTTGTTTCTTCATCAGTAACTCCAACCATTAATCGTTCATGTTCTTTTTTAATATCTTCAATATGTTTTTGAGCCATAGTAAGTCGTTGTTTATCAGTGTCTTCATTACTATGATTATATTTAAACTCAGTTTGAATACGTTCAACTCTTTTTTGTGGTTTAGGTTTTTCAGTTGCCAATCGTTGTTTGAATGGTACAAGAAAAGGGTCACTCATGAATGTTCAAACTCTTGGTATTAACAGTTCGTTGCAAATAAACTATCGTTGTTTTTCATTATTTTTGTTATTTCTTTTTAAAAAACCCTAATTTTAATTTCTGTTATTTAAAACATAAATAAATTATCAACGTGGCGTTGTGTTGTAAAACAAAAAGAATGAAAATGCACCACGTCAGACTTTGAAATAAAAGATATGAAGATGATAGAAATATCATTTGATGGATAAAGAAACTGAAAAGAAGTGTGAATGCAATGGTGAACATTGTGAATGTAAAGATGAACATTGTGGATGTGAAAGTGGACATTGTGGATGTAGTGATGAACATTGTGGGTGTGAAGGTGGACATGATGAAGAACCAATGGAAGAAGAAGTCAAAGAAAGTTTTCCAAAGACAGTTGAAGTAGAAGGAACTGGATATGAGAAACCAACTGATGATTGTTTGTGCACAGTTGATTATACAATGTTAGATGGTGATAGAGTTATTGAAGAGAAAAAAGACTTTAAATTTAAAGTTGGAGATATGCCAGTGATTTGTGAAGGATTTGAAAAAGGTATTGAGTCAATGAAATTAAATGAAAAGTGTACATTTACTCTTAAACCAGAAGATGCATTTGGAAGTTGTGGAGATAAAGAAAGAAGTATTGAGCCAAATAAAGAAATTACATTTAAAGTTACACTTAAAGGAATGGAACCTGTTCCAACACCATTTACAATTGCACCAGAAAATATAGTTAAACATGCAGAAGAAAAGAAGGCACAAGGAAATGAAATGGTCAAAAGAAAATTACAAAAGAGAGCATTAAGATGTTATTTAAGAGCACTTGATTATCTTGATAATGATTATAGAATTCCTGAAGATCAAAAAGAAGCAGCTAAGAAGATTCAAACAATATTATTTGGTAATATTTCAGCAATGCATCTTCATTTTAAAGAATATGATCAAGTCATTGAATATACAGATAAAGTTCTTGCTGTCGATGCAGAAAACTTAAAGGCATTATTAAGAAGAGGAAAGGCTTATTTAGAAAAAGGACAAGTAGAAAAAGCTGAAAGTGATTTTAATAAAGTTCTTTCTATTGATCCAAATAATAAAGAAGTTAAATATGAAATGAATGGAATTAAAAGAAAGAGAATGGAAGAGGAAAAGAATGATAAAAGAAGATATGCCAAAATGTTTAGTGCATTAGGTTCATTAGGTGAAGTTGATGAAGAACAAAAGAAATTACAAGAAGCACAAGAGGAACAACGTAAGAAAGAATGGGAAGAAATCAAAAAGAAACAAGAGGAAGAAGAGAAAAAGAAAGAAGAGGCAAAGAAAATGGAAGAAGAAAAACCAAAAGAAGAAGAGGTTAAGAAAGAAGAAAATACTCCAATGGAAGAAGAAAAACCAAAAGAAAATTAAATTGATTGATATTTCATTAATTTATTTATCTTCCTATTAAATAAAGATAACCACATAATTCACAACGCATTATAGATTTTGTATTATTTTTGGGAATATATCCTTGACATTGTGGGCAACGAACAAAATCACCACTTTGTTCAAGGTACATGTTTAACAACATACTGTCATATTTTTGATATAACTCTAAGTCAATCCTTTTTATTTCGTTAAGTTCTATGTCAGACTGACACTGCTTATGAAGACATTTCATTATTTTTTTATCTTTAATCGATTCATTTAAGTTTAGAATTAAACAACTCAGACACAACACATGTTTACAAGGATGGAATTGATAAAATTCTTTTTGTGGTTTACGTCTTTGACATAATTCACAAATCTTAGTTCTAATATTTTCATTTAACACTCTTAGAATATAATTTTCTAATTTCTTCTCTGTTTTTATCTTCATTAAATTGTTACGTATTATTTTAATATCTCTTTCTGAAAAACCTTCACTATTGGTTCTTGTTAATGACTTCATTTCATTCTGTTGTCTTGGTTTACGGAAAGAATGTTTATTTCTTCTTTGTGTATCCTTTAAAGGTTTTATTGGAGTAAGTGGTAGAATTTGTAAGGTTTTCTTTTTCGGAGGTTGAATAGGTGACAATACTTGTTGTGAGTGTTTTTGAGGTGGTTGGATTTGTTGTGGTTGTTTTTGAGGTGGTTTAGAATTGGTATATGAAAAATAAACAGAAGACATCGGTCCTAATACCTTACTTTCATTCAAATAGTCTTTAGTTTGTTTTGCTTCTTCTGTTGTTTGGTATGTAGAAAGTATGTACCATGAAGATGAGTCAGAAGCAGTTGGTTTGCAAACAATTTTTATTGGGTAAAAAAGTGTATGAAAAGAGTTGATGGCTTGTTTTTCATCAACTGTGATGTGTTTAGCATATAAAACATTATTTTCATAAGCTCCATAAGATATAGGTTGTTTGTACTTCACCAATGAGAAATTATAAGGAACTTCATTTTGGGTTTGAATGGCAAGAGTTTGTTTTGTCAATGCAACAGCATTTTCATGTGAATCAAAATCAGCAAACGCAATAAAGTGGTTTGACCTTTTAGAGAATTTAAATTTCAGTGAATTTGGTATATAACCAGGTGCACGAGTATTAAGAATAAATCGGAGATTATTTTGAGTTTGTTCAGAGTCGTCAGGAATATTACTAATAAAGACAGACTGTGATTGCATATTCACTGAATTATATTTTAGTTAAAGACAAAAAAAGAAATAATAAATTTTAACATTTCTTTAAAGTCATTGATTTAAATATTATTGTTGAATAAAATAAATAAAAAACTGTAATTATAACTGTAACTGAGAAAATTGATTTTTTATGAAGGATAATAAACAAATAAGACTAATTTTAAGTAATTATTTCTAATACAAATTAAAATAGTCTTAGTTATTATTTTTTATGTATTTTAAAATATGTTTATCATTTTTACTTATTTATTGGCTGTTGGGTTTGAAGTTGGTATGTCAGAAACACATACAAACATTAAAATAAAATCAAATAATGAAATATCAATTATTATTTGATTATGATGAAGTAATTAAATAAGAAATATACTAATTAACATTACAAAGAATGAAATAATGTAATATGAAAGAATAATAAGAAAAGAAAAAGATATAAATGAAGATATACATAATAATCTAATGATAATGAAATATTCATTCAACATAAAATAAGAAAATAAAGATAAAATTCATTAAAGTTCAAATAACAACCAAAGAAGAAATTAAAAAGAAGAATAAAAAGACAATAATATAAAGAAATAAAATAAAATGATTTATTCATCAAACAAAAAGAAAAACTAAATAATAAAATAAAATAAAGAAATTACTTTGTTTTTAATAATGTATGGTGTAATTACTATCATTAATTAATGAATAACTTACAATTCTATTAATACTTATTTTTCTAATTTTTATGATGTCTATGAATTAAATCAAAAATAAGTGCTATACATTTTATTTTTTTATGATTAAAAAATAAACAGTTGACTAATTTATGAACATTCAAAGTTTTATTCCTCTGATTAATAAATGTCATAAAACTAAATAATAGAATGAATGTTAAACATAAAATATTCATTCATTAAATGATAATGAAGTTTGCATTAAATTAAGAGATGAAATAGATGGCACTAAATTCAATATGTTAGTTTATTCAGAATAGACAAAAACAAATATATGAATAAAATACACAATATCTATACTTTATTAAATTTACTCAATGAATATTCTTCTTATATAAAATGAGAAGAATAAATAGATGTGAATATATGAAAATATACAATAAATTTAATATCAAAATCACATTACATTCTAACAATAAAGTTTCTTATTAACTTTGATTCCAACCCATTTTATAATAAGTCCTGTTAAATTTGAAATGTTTGATGATAAAAAAAACAAACCTTTAATAAAAAACTTCAAAAAAGATAGTTATGAAATTGTCAATTATTTATATCCTTTTTGTAATATTGGAAGGATAAACATAGTAAAAGACTTTGGAGTAGGAGTTATGTTTTGGTTTTTACAGTAAGTTTCAAATTGTTTTACATTATTTGTTGTAATATTGAATAAAGAAGGAATAACTGCAAATTGGTTAGAGTTCCATATTGCATTACAGATAGATTCAATTGTTAATGCTAAGGATAATGTATCTGGATTTAATGAACGTTCATAAACAATCATAAATAATTGGAATTGGTCAAATGTAAGTTCTCCTTTGAATGAAGAAAGATAATTAATAATAATATCAATACTCATTAATTCCTCATAACTTAGAGTTCCATATTGTTGTTGGATGAAATGAATAATCGACTGTTTAGAGACAAATCCATTAACATTTAATACACGGAACATAGAAATAGTACGTTTCAATAACTTTGATTCTTTTTCATTGTCAGTGTCATCTAAACATGGAGAATCACCATCTAACCAATAACGAACAAAATTATATAAAGAAAGTTTATTAGTTCCATCTTCAACATATGCTTTGATAACAGTTTGGGCAGTGCTTAAATCAATAGGACTATTAAAAATTTTTGAAGTTTCTACAAGAATATCTGCATCAATACCATGATGTTGAAAAGTAAAAAAAACTGCCCTAACAAGTCCTTCATTATGACCATATTTTCTAATATTTTCATCAAATGTTTGTGCGATCATATTAATAAGGTCTGGAGTTTTTTCTTCAGCATTAATTAAACGCAGGATTCTGTCGCAAAGACTTGTCTCAATTTCTAATTTAGTAAAGAGTTCTTTTAAATACTTTTCTTTATTTTGATATGATGAAGGAAGTAATGGAGTAACTTTTTTTGTTTGGGCAATTTGTAATGGTGGAAGAGAGTGCAAATCAACCATAGGAACAACAATATGTTCACAAAAGTTTTTAAAATCTAAAATGTTATCTGAAATTATTTCAGCATAATGAAGGAATTCAACCAATTGTATATCAGGTGATGTTGATATTAAATTTGCCTTTCCATTAAGAGTTTTAGTTAAAAAGATTTTAATTCTATCAATAGGAACAGTTCCTTTATAATCTTTATCTAAAACATTGAAAATAGTAGTAAACAATTCTAATATTGTAAAGTGTTGAGTTCTTTCAACAACCCATTCAATAGAAGTACAAATTTTGATAAAATCAGACGACGAAATAATATTGTCTTTAACTAATACATTTAACAGCATTACTAATGATGGAACAATAACTTTATCAATTTGGAATATATCAATAAGTATTTTCTTAACACGAGAAGTTGTTAATCCAAGTTTTAATGAGTCATATTGATTGTAAATTTTTCCATAATATTGAGGCTTTAATTTATAAATAATTTCATTCACTTTTTGTTGCATTGACGTATGTTCTAATGTGTCAAAGGTTTGAATCAAAAATGTTGTTAGGTTTGTTGGAATACCATTTTTAGTTATTTCACCAATACAATGTTCATCCAATCCTTTAAACATCATAAATGTAACAACTTCTTCACTCAACTTTCCCCATCTATGAACGTATATATCTAAATACTGCATCATTTCAACAAATATCCTTTTGGTGATATGACTCGACTTATTTTTAAAACATCGTACCATTTCATCTACATTAAATTTATTAATTTGATTATAGTTATCTAAAAATTCCATAGCAATTATTTGTTTAATCTCTGCTGTTCCAATAATTCTTTTCTTCATTACTCCAAGTTTACTTTTTTCTTCAAACTGCCTTATAAACCTTTCTCTTGACATCCTCTCCTCTTTTTCACTCTTTTTTTTTTTAGTTTTCTTTTTACTTTTTTATAAAACAAAACAAATAAAAAACTTTGTTCAATCATATATTCTATTATTTAAATGGTGGTGAAATAAAACTATGCTTTCTATCCATTAGCCTATCACCTCTATCAATTCTATCACTACGCTCAATCCGACTTCGGTCAATAAACCCAAATGGAACGTTTATCCCATGGTCCATTGATAACCGTGTATCTCTATCCATTATTGATAGGTCAAGCAACGAACCTCTAGCCTCTATTGGTACTTTATCAATAAGTGGTCTATCTACAGACATTCCTTGTTCTACATTGTCGTGGGGGAAAGGGTCATGCTCATACCTAGGATCAGATAAATAACGAGGATCTCTAAGATAGCGATTGTCATACCGAGGGTCGAACCTAGAATCCATAAGACGTGGGTCACGAAGATCCCTAGGGTCGTTAAGAGGAGGTGGTCGAATGTCTGTTAGCCCGACACGTTGGGTTCTGTCTACTTGAGGACGACTTTGAAGGTCTTGTGGAGTGCGTTCGGAGACTTTGTCCAGAGATGGTTTAGTGTCAATAGGTGGACGGTCAATAGAAGCACCCCGTTCGAGGGGTGTACGTTCATTTGGTCGTTCTAGTTGTTGAATGCCACGTTCCAAACGATCATAACGAGTGTCATAGTTAAGTCGAGGGTCAAGTCGAGGATCATTCCTCATATCAATTCTAGGGTCAGTGGTATTGTCATATCTAGGATCATACCGATCATACCTTGGATCATATCTAGGATCATACCGATCATATCTTGGATCATATCTCATATCAAATCGTTCAAAACGAGGGTCATACCTTGGGTCAAAGCGTGGGTCGAATCTAGATGATGAATATCTTGGGTCGAAACGAGGATCATCATAATAAGGATCATCATAACCTCTAGGATATCTTTGATCTCGATTGTCTTTGTCATAACCAAAAGGATAAGGTGCAGGATAACGTGGAATAGGTTTCATTGGTGCTGGTTTTTTAGTTTGGTCAATAGCTGTTTTAACATCCCGTGGAAGTTCACTAATTCCATTGAATGGTTCTTTTTGTTGATATCCTGTTGTATTTGTTGTTTGATAATATGGATAATCACTTGGTTGTCTATTATCAATATTTTTTAAAAATGGTTCACTTGACCGAAATAAAATTGAATCAGGTCCTTTAGTTAATCCACTTGATGAATAAAGCCATCTATTTAATGTATCAAACATTGAAGAACATCGATTTGGATCTACTCCATATGCATTTGATACATCTTTAGTATATTGTGTAATATCTCGAATTTTTGATGTTTTTTGATAGATTTCAAAGACAGGTTTTACAAACAATGTATAATATGCAATGAATAAATGTTTGTTAGCACCTCTCATTCGATATTTATGTATGTTCCCAAGATATTCATTATAATTAATTCTCTCATTTATTTTCTCAACATTCCGCTTATTCCCTTGATTTGCTATTTCTCCCCCTCTTTCTCTTCTCTCTTGTTTCATTTCTTGTGTATTATTACTTTTTTGCTCTTGAGGCTGTTTAATTAACATAGACACTCTATTTGTTCCTACTGCTGCTTGTGGTTTATAAGGTGTGTTCCAATCAGTATTTTTATTGACTACAAATATAAATGGGTCTCCTCCGTTATTAGGCTGTATTTCTTCTAAACTCATTGACTGATATTTTGAGAACTATCTCTCTTGAGTAATTTTTACCTCAGATCTTAATTCCCCCTCAACAGGTATTATTTGATTGGCTTATTTTCTTTACCTGGAATATTCAACACATCAAAGAATATTCTAAAATCGAACTTTGCTTTTATATTTCGTTTCCTAATTATTTGTATTTATCAAAATTCTTATTTATTAGTTTCAAACTAATTCAATAAATAACAACTTATGTCAGTCGAAGATTCTTGAAGAAATTTTCTTTTCCTTTTTTGTTGATCTTTGAGATGATTGGATTTTTCTAATCAAAGCAACTTCTACACTTTATTTTTATTTATTTCCATTGTGACGTGGACATTTTTGTTTATTCTGTTTTGAATTGTTTTTGATTTTCATTTTCAAAAAAGTTTTGAAACAAATTATTAGTTTTTAATTGATATAAATTATAATAAATAATTGTTATTATGAATAGTTGGAGAAAAGATATATCAAACTATAATAAATAACAAAAAAGTACAAAAAATAAAAAATAAAAAGGGTTGATGTAAGAGAATATTCAATATAAAATAAGAAAAAATATGAAACGTTTAAAATATAAAGAAACTTAAAGAAAAAAAAAACAAATTAAATAAATTGAGGAGGAATGTCTCGATTGGATAAATTACTTGATTTAATCGAAACTGCTCCAACCCCTGCAGCTCGTAGAGCAGCAGCCCTTCAATTAGGTGAGATTATTAATTCAAAACCAGAAGAAATTGGGAGATTATTAACACGATTATATCCATATACTATTCACAAAAAATTTGAAACAAGGACTGCAGCTGGAATTGCTGTAGAGGCAATGGCAAAGAATGTCCCTGTAGTAAGATGTGCACCATTAAAAGAACCATGGACTTTTGAAACATTTAATTTAGATGAAATTATGAAAACTCATAAAGTATTATTGGCAATGGATGACAGTAAACAAAAAGCACAGCCTGTAGAAATCGTTTCAAGTAGTAAGTTAAGTACTCGTCAAAAATTAATGATGAAAAGAAAAGCAAAAAAAGCACAAGAAAAGGAAACTGAAGTTATAGAAACAACAGAAAAATTGGATTTTAATTGTGATGGATGGCCATTTGAATTATTTTGTGAGAAAATGATGCAAAACATATTTGATCCTAAATGGGAAATCAGACATGGTGCTGCTATATGTCTAAGAGAAGTTTTAAGAGCACAGTCAAATGCAGTAGGAAAAGAATGGAGAATAGATTTAACATTAAAATTATTATCAGTTATTTCATTAGATAGGTTTGGTGATTTTATTTCAGATACTGTAATTGCTCCCGTTCGTGATACTTGTGCTCAAGTTATTGGTATTGCTATTAGAAATTTAGGGGATGAAGTAAGTAAATTTATTAAAATTATTTGTCAAATGTATCATAAAGATGAATGGGAAGTAAAACATGGGGCTTTATTAGTATTAAAATATACTGTTGCTATTGTTGATAAAAAACAAATTCAATCAATTTTTATTATGATTAAACCAATTCTAATTGAAGCTTTAACAGATGTTGGTCATGATGAATCAGTTGCTGTGGCAGCAGAAGTTATGAGAGAATTAGTTGATTTTATGAAATCTGACTTTGAACTTATACAAAAAATACGTTCATTGTTATGGGATGTTTTAGAGGATTTAGATGAATTAACTGCCTCAACAAATAACGTTCTTCAATTATTAGAATGTGTTGATAGAATAGCGGCTGAACAAGCTCCAATTCCAATTACAATATTAATTGATCAATATATTCCTAAATTACTACCATTTTCTGGACATGTATTACCAAGTGTACGAACAGCAGTAATGGAAACTTATCATAGTGTTTTATCTCAAATTCTTTCACAACTAACTGCTGCTTTACCTCATCAACCAAAAATCCCTCCAACAGGAAAGTCACTTGAAAAATTATTTTTTCAATGTTGTGCTGCTGTTGTATCTGAAGCTAATGACTATTTGCCTACAATAGATGATTTATTAAATGAACCTGTTGATAACCCTATCCCACATAATAATCGTCTTCTTCATCACGCTGTAGCTAACGCTGGTTTATTAATTATGATTATTACTCATGCATTCCCAGAAACAATAAATAATATTGTTAAAGAATTACCAAAATTATTACGAGTATTTGAATTAGGTAGTGAAGGTAAAATTGATAAAAAGGTTGTTTCTGTAATTAGTAAAGTGAAACGAGATGCTCCTATTGCAGAACAAAAGGAAAGAATTGATATACTGTTTAATGGAGGAACAATTGTTGCTCGTATTATTGAAGCTGCAAGAAAGGTTGGAAATGATGCTGAAAATTGTGTTCTTCAATCATTAAATTCTCCACAATCAATTATGCTTGCAGCGTTAGCAACTGAATTTGAAGAAACTCACTCGCCATTAGTTAGAACAAAATTAGAAGAAATTTATTCTAATTATCAATATGATGATTTTAATTCATTTGATTGGAAGATGATTGTTGAGACATATAAAGAGAATAGTGCTGGATTAAATTTACCTTTAATTAATAATAGTCGAGAACTTATTCAAATTTTACCTAAATTACGTGAATTGGTTCCTAATAAAATTTCTAAACTTGAACATTCATTAAAAACTTATAATGAAATGGTTCAAGGAGTTATTTGTAGGACAAAAGCAATTGTCATTGGTGCTATTTATCCTTCTGTAAGAGACCCCACTTTATTACATGAACCAATTTTAAGAGAATATTCTCCGTTATTAACTGAACATTTTACTATGTTATTTCATCGTTTGTATCAAAACACAACTGATACACAATCACTAGGATTTTTATTCGCTACATTAATCGACCATCTTAAACCAATGTATTCTAATATCATAGAATTAATTAACAATGAACAAATTACTTTTTATAATCTTACTTTACCATACTCTTTACATTATTTCTTAAAGTTCTTAGCACAAAATATTGAATATAAACATTATTTATTATCAATATTAACTCCATTACTCGTAGAACCTCCACCCGATGATCCAACAACATCATTATATTATCCATTATCAATTTCTGTTTTACCATTTCTTCCTACTTGTCCATTACATGTAGATCATATTAAAACATTATTAAAAAATGTTCATTCAAGTCATGCTTTTCTTATTGCAACAACACTTTCTCGTCTATTAAGATTACACAAAGAGTTATTAACTACATTTATTACATTAATCTATCCACAGTTATCAGTTACTTCTCCAACGTTATTAGCTGCATTACATATTTTCCACCACATGTGTTTATCACCTACAATGGCTACATTGTTAATTCCTGTCTTCCCATTACTAATAACTCCATTTTTAGGAGTTATGAATTCAAATCATGAGAGTAATATTAGGAGATTAGGTGCTCAATGTTTTAGTGTCGTACTAAGATATCTTCCACTTCACGTTACTCCACCACCTGATCTTCCTGATAAATTACGTGATGAAATTGAACAAAAAAAGATTTTTATTTCATTCCTTTTTGATGGTATTAGAAGTCAATCTATATCACAGTTTTCTGTGTTTAATCATCCAATTAATGGAAAATTAAGACCATATCAATTAGATGGTATTTCATGGCTTTTATTCTTACATAAATATTGTATTAATGGAATTTTATGTGATGATATGGGTTTAGGAAAAACATTACAAACACTCTGCTTATTAGTTACTGTTCATAAAGAGGCTGAATATCCAAGTTTGATTGTTTGTCCACCAACATTAACAGGACATTGGAAACATGAAATAGAACAATTTATAAGTCAGTCTGATCTTAAAGGAGTTTTGTATACAGGATCAGTAAAAGAACGGTTTGTTGTTCTAAATTCATTAAGAAAGAAAGATATATTGATAGCTTCATATGAAATGGTTAGACATGACTTAGAACAATTTAAAACAAAGAGATTTACTTATTGTGTATTGGATGAAGGTCATATTATCAAAAATCCTAAAACAAAATTAACACAAGCAGTAAAACAAATTATTTCTTTACATAGATTAATACTAACTGGTACACCAATTCAAAATAATGTATTAGAACTTTGGTCATTATTTGATTTCTTAATGCCAGGATTTTTAGGAACAGAAAAAGAATTTAGTGAACGATATTCTAAACCAATTCTTGCTGCAAAAGATGCTGCTTCTCCTGAAGACCAAGAACGAGGAGTTATTGTAATGGAAAAATTACATAGGCAAGTCTTACCATTTATTTTAAGAAGACTTAAAGAAAGTGTACTTCAAGATTTACCGCCTAAAATTATTCAAGACTATTATTGTGATATGAGTCCAGTTCAAAGAATGTTATATCAAGAATTTGAGTCAACAAATGATATGGATGAAATAGTCCAACAAAAATCTGACAAGAAACAAAAAAATCATATTTTCCAAATTTTAAATTATTTCAGAAGATTATGTGTTCATCCAATGTTAGTTCTTGATGATCAACATCCAATGAAACAAAAAGTTGATGCTTATTTAAAACAAGAAGGAAAGACAATAGATGATATTACCAATTCTCCAAAATTAATGGCATTAGCAGAATTATTGGAGATGTGTAATATTGGAAAAGATGGAGAACATAGAGTTCTTATTTTTGCTCAAATGAATATTACATTAGAATTAATAGAAAAACAATTATTTGCTAAACAATTTCCATATATTTCATATTATAGATTAGATGGAAGTGTTCCACAAAATAAAAGAACAGAAATTGTTGATAAATTTAAAAATGATCCAACAATTGATGTTTTATTACTTACTACAAGAGTTGGTGGGTTAGGACTTAATTTAACTGCTGCTGATATTGTTATATTCATGGAACATGACTGGAATCCTACCAAAGATCTACAAGCAATGGATAGAGCACATAGATTAGGACAAAATAAAGTAGTTAATGTTTATCGATTAATTGTAAGACAAACACTAGAAGAAAGAATTATGAATTTACAACAATTTAAAACTAAGATTGCTAATACTGTAGTAACTAGAGAAAATGAAACATTTGCAGGAATGAATGCCGGTAATTTTGTCGAATTATTTAATAAGGAAGGAGAGGAAAAGAAACCAGAAAAGAAACCAGAAAAAGGAATATCATCATTATTAGAATCGTTAGGTGATTGGGATGAAGAAGAATATGGAGATGAATTTGATTTGAATGCATTTGTTGATAAAACAAATCAAAGTTAATAACAATGTTTTTGTAAAAGAATAAATAAATTAATACATTCTTTTTTTTAAATAATTTAATGACATTCTATTACGAAGATGAATTGAGCATTAATTTTCCTAGCTGTTTGTTGTGAAGAGAATGGATTAATACATGGAGTACATGCATAATTATTTTTAAATCCTTGATGAATACTACAAGTGCCATCTGAAAGAATCCAAAAAGCAGAAAATACAGTTAAAATAAATGGAGAGTCATTTTCATAATATAATGTTAAAGATTTTGTATTATTTTTTTTTCTGTGAATTATTTGTTGAGTATTATTGTTATAAGTAAATAGGAAAAATTTTTGGGTTGTTTCGAGGTTAATATTTCCTTTCTTTTTAAATGGAGGAATCACTTCTTCATTGTAAATTCCAAAAATATCAAAATCACTAGTAGCTATAATAACTAAAATTTTACTATGCCCAATAATTTTAGAGTTAAAAGTACGATTATCAAGAGGATCAAACCGACTATCAAATAATATATCATATGTTTTTATATCAATAATATTAGAAACCATTTCTACTGCTGGAGAAACTGGTTCAAACTTTTCACTTAAATATTCTTCTTCAATATCTTCTTCTTCATATCTTGGAGAATGTTTAGGTGTAAGCATTTTTGTTATTTTTGGAGTTATTGACCTATGAGAAAATACCCCCGTGGAACAAAATGATTTTTTACTACTTCTTGGAGTACGTCCACCATTACTACTAACTGAATAAGATCTCTTACATTTTGGTGTTAATGATGGACTTTCTAATTCTTCAAGTGGAGAAGTAGAATTAGATTCAAAATAATCAAGTGCAATTCCTGTTTTTGAGCGTCGTTTTTCATTTGGAGTATATGAACATTTTATTGAAGGAATTACTGATCTTCTGTTCATCTTTTTTGGCTTAGGAACAATAATTGTTTCTTTTTCTTTTTCGTTATTAGCATCAGTTACAGTTAATGTAAATGAAGAATTAACGTGATTCCAAGTACCAAGACTCCCTGACCTAGAGTTATGATTCTTAATATACCCTTGCTGATTTCCCATTATCTGTATTTTAGTTTGGTTATTCCAAAAAAAAAGATCTCCCATCAATTCAATTGTTGTTGAACGACTTTAAAAAACCAATTTTGAAATAGAATGAAAGAGAAAAAATGATAATAGTTTAATATTTTTTTCCTTTTACAACTTTTAATTACCGAGAAAATAATAATTCAACGAAAAAATCAAACCAAAAATAGAAAATCAATTATATACATTCAACTGCTAAAAGAGTTGATATATAGCTTACTTTATTTATCATTCTTCCTAACATTGGATTTAACATTGGTGATTTTACATAATAATGACTTTTTAATGATGGATGAATATGAACAGTCCTATCTGCTAATATCCAAAATGCAGAGGCAATAGTAAGAACAAAATTTGATTCACATTGAGGGTGAATAGTTAATACTTCTTCCGTTTTACTTTTTTTTGTCATTTTTTCTATTGTTGTATAATTATGCGTAAAAAGAAAAAATCCTTCTTTACAAATTGACTTTTGAATACAATGATTTTGAGCTGGACATATGACATCTGGATGATAACATCCAAAGATAGAACCATCTTCTGTAATAACAATAATTAAAACATTAGAACAACAACATACTTTTGAATTAAAAGCACGTGTTGTTAATCCATCAATTGATGAATTATAAAGAATATTAAATTGATTTGAACAACACCAGTTTTCTATATCAGAAAGAATTGAACTTTTATTATCAAACTTAGGAATTTCAAAAGCAGCAGATTTTATTTTTCTTAGTGAACAACAATTTCTTGGAGATCCTTGAGGTGTTAAAAATCCTTTTTTAGTCTTTGTACAAACCCGATAATGGTCAGTGTATTGAGTTTGATAAAACAAAGAATTGGAATTTCTTTCTTCTTCTTCTTCTTCAGAACCTTCAAACACACAAAATGTTTCTTCTTCATTTAAAATGTTAATACGTTTATTAACTTTAGTTTGTTTATTCCCCATATGAACTAAATGAGTTATACAGATTGAATTTAATGACTTTAAATACCCAATCAATTTAGATAATTTTATTTTGAATAACTCTTATTGTTTTTATTGTAATTCAAAAAATAATAATGAATCTTTTGACAAGCACTTTGTCTGATTATTTCAATTAAATTTTAAATTATTAAAGAATTATTTGATAAAAACTTGACAAAAAGATGTATTTTTTAGTTATTTTACAACAGCCTTTTCGTATACAGAATGATTTGTTCTTTTTTTATTATTACAGAGAATAATATTAAATTAAATTGTTATTATAGACTTTAAATAGATAAAAAAAACAAATAATAAATTTAAAAAAAAAATCATGTGTTTGATAATGTAAGACTAATATATTTTATATTACATTCTATCTCTTTTTTTATAAAAATATCTTTATTTAAGATATAAAACTACAATAAAAACATTGAAGAATTAACATTTTTTTTATTCAATTAAACCCTTATTTTCAATATTTCTCCTTTATTTGTTGAGACTAAAAAGTAATCTTCGTAAGGAATAACATAAGTAAATTCTAAATTGTAACCTTCAGGAACAATAACACTTTCTAAAACTCCCCATTTGCTTGAACTCATTTTTAATAACAATCCTTGTGAAGTTACAAAGAAAAACATATCTGATTTAGCAGAAATAGCTGCTGAAATGATATTATTTGGAATATCCATTTTTTCATATGACATATTTGTTCTATCAATCTTATGAAGCATTTCTCTTGAAACAACATAAAGATATTTCCCATTATTCCCAATAAATACACTTTTCACTTCAGTTACTTTCAGTGAAAGAGAAACGTCTAAACATTTCATTGTATCATAAGGACTTGTTTTCTTATTGTATTGAACTAATTGCATAAAACCTGTTTTGGTTATAACAAAAAATAGAACGTCTTCATCAGCAGAAGTACTTGGTAAAAATACAAATGAATGAATAGGTTCATTTAAACATGTTGAAAGTGAAATAAGTTCAAACTGCCTATTAGCTCGATAGACTTTTACGAATCCATTAGATGATCCAATTAATACACTATTACAATCAAATGGAAATAATTCTAAACAAGTGATATATCCATCATTGGTTTTATTTTGTTGACCAAATTGAGAAACTCTCAAGGCAGAACTACATTTATATAACTCACAACAACTTCCTAATGAAATAACTATATAACTCCCAGTTCGAGTAACAACTCCTCTAACATTATGGAATTGCTTCTCTCCAGAAAAGTCTAGTACTTTTTTATCTTTAGGAAATGATGAAATATAAGTTTTACCATCAACTTTTTTGAATAAATAGAAAATATCTTTTGTTGTTTGAATCATTAAATGTTTACCTTCATTACTTATAGTGAACATTTTAATATTTCCTTTAACTTTCCAAAAATTAGTTATATCACACTTTGAAATAGTTGAAGGAATATCAGGTTTTACAGTTTGTTCTGTAAAAATAATTTTATTTTTGATAGGAATATCTTCATCTGGTTTTCTTTTAATTGGTTCAAGTTTTGAGTAAGTAATTGGTGTTACAGGAGCAACTTGAGTCATACAATTAGAAGAAGGAGTTTGTTCATTACACATAACTTCAAATTGAATATTAACTGGTTCTTTAATTGTGTTACTATTCCAATTAATTGGAATAACATTAAATTCTCTATAAAATACTCTTAATTGTGTAGAATTATCAAATGTACATACAGCTAAACAATTATCAGCAGACATTTTTTGAATATGTTCACAACTAATTTGTTGCTTAATTTGTTGTGTTTCAATTTCAATAACTTGAATATTTCCTTGTGAATATACAAAAACATTAGTATCATTTCCTGCAAGTATTGGTGCTGAACTTTTTCTTGAATATATTTTTCTTATTTTCTCATTTGGTATAACAATATATCTATTATCATTAGAAATCATTACATTTTCATCAATAACACAATCAACTAAAATACTTAGTTGTTGTTCTTTTGTAACTTTATTTGGTTTTCCTAAACAAGTCTTTAATTTGTGTAATAATGTTGGATATACTACAACCACTTCTCCTTGTACCTGACTTGGTATTACTCCAATAGCTCCTTCATTTTCATAAATAACATTTTTATTAGCAAATTGATATACTTTAACTCCTTTTGAATCAACAATAGCAACTTCAGTTGTTCCATTAATTATTGAAATAGATTTGACATTAGTTGCTGGAATTATTGCAAGTATTGAAAGACAATATCCAATGCATAAAACTTTTACTTGTGATCCATTATAATAAACAATATATGTTGATAATACAGAAACTAGTGTTACTGGACTATTTTCTTTAATATCAAATAAAACTTCCCCACTTTCAAAATCAATACAAGTAAAATTTCCTGTTTTAAATCCAATATATACTCTTGTATCTTTAACATATAAACAAGAAATTTCATTCGATTTTAATTGAACATCAATAAATTTCCAATCAGAAAACTTATTTCCCTTTCTTATAACAGTTGATACTTTTTCAAGATGCATATGCTCTGGTTTAATTAAACTAACTAATCCAATTTTATCATCAACACTACCTTGACATATTTTAATATGGTCATAACGAACACCATTAGATACTAACTTCTTTAATGTCCCTTTCTGAATTTCTGGGAACTTCATGTATTCTTTGATAGTTGAGCCTTTTTCTATTTCATTCATAATACAATTAAATAAATTTGTTATTATATAATTATCATATCCATCATAATTCAATTCATTTTTAGCTATAAGGTCATCATCAAAAAACAAATTAGAGAGTCGAGTGAGATATTGCTTAGTTACAATAGAATTTGGTAATAACTGAATTCTTTTCATAGATTGAACAGCGGCTTTGAAGTCTGCTTGTTTACATGAAATAAAAAAGTTAATTTCTCTAATCAATTTAAGAACCATTTGGTCTTGTTCATTTTGAAGTCTAAAAAAGGTAAGTTAATATATCAAAGAGTTAATAAAGAAAACAAATGAAAAAAGAAAAAAGGGTTGATAAAAAGACAAAGAAAAAAATTTGAAATGTCTTTTGGTTAAGTAATATAAAAAATCTTCACATATCTTATTTAAAAGATAAGGCAAATCAACATATTTCAACAAGAACAAACGAGGTGAATTGAGTAATATATTCATCTAACTTAAAAAGGTCTCTTTGCATAATTAATTGTTTTATATATTCTTGGTCACAATACAATTTTAGTTGAGAGGATATATTAATGAATTCTTTGTCTCGTTTTTCTTCTCTTATATGATCAACAAATAAAAGTTCTAATTCACGTTCAAAATTCACTTTTTTATCCATTTGATTTTTAAGTTTCTCACATAGATCTTAAAATTTAAGATGAATAAAGTCGTGAGAAAGAAAGTATTATTAATGGGAAGAAGTGGTTCAGGGAAAACTTCAATGAGAACAATTTTATTTTCCAATTATTTACGTTTGACATTTTCATTGATAAAACTATAAATAAATAAAAACTTACAACACAGCAACACAAACAAGACAATTACAAGTAACAAGTTTGTTTTATACAAAAAAAAAACAGTGAAGGCGAACAATATTAATTAAAAATTTATAGTTGATGTTAATCATTCTCAAATTTCATTTCTTGGGAATTACACATTAAATTTATGGGATTGTGGTGGACAAAAACAATTTATGGACATGTATTTAGGAGCACAAAAATCACAAACATTTAAAAAAGTTGAGGCATTGATTTATGTCTTTGACGTTACAAGTGAAACATTTGATAAAGATATTCAAGAATATAGAGCAGTATTAGAACGATTATATGAATACTCTCCAGATGCTAAATTATTTACTTTAATACATAAAATGGATGTTTTTGAAGAAGATGAAAAAGATTATCAATATTTACAAAAAGAAGGTAAAATTAAATTAGTGTCAAAGCCTTTTAGAGTTGTCAGTTATCCAACTTCAATTTATGATGATACATTATATTCAGCATGGAGTGCAATTACATATAGTCTTATTCCAATGATTACAGAAGTTGAAGATAAATTAAATTCATTTTGTAATTTTATAGAAGCAGATGAAATTGTTGTATATGAAGCAAGTAGTTTATTAGTAATAAGTTATTCTTCAAGAGTAGAATTTGATGAGTCTAGAAGATTTGAAAATATATCAACCAGTATTAAAAGTTTTTATCATAGTTGTACTGACTTAAAGAAAACACAATTTAAAAATATTAGAGTTGAATTACCTGATAAAAAAGTATATTTTGATACATTTACTTCAAGCACTTTTATTATGGTAATATTTTCAAATCCTTGTTTAACTTTTACTAATGTTGCAATGAACGTTAAGGCAATTAGAAATAAATTTGAAGATTTAATTGGTTTCAAAGGAGATGACTATTAATTATTTGTTGAAATTAAATAACTTCTAATTTTAATTTAATAAAAACTTTATTAACAATTGGTTTGTTTGTTTAATTTATCAACCAAAACTTCTGAAACATAACCATTGATACTAAAACTATTCAAATGAAGTTCATGACAATTAACTATTGACCCACAATAATCATTTATATAAAGTTCTTTAAGAGAAGATGGAACAATAAATAATGATGATGATCCACTAATAATTAAAGACGTTAGAGAAGTGTATTTATCTAAATGAATTGTTTCTGAACAATTAATATTCATTAAAACCAATGATTTTAGAGTATTTGGAAGTGATGGTTGTTGTTTTAAGTTTGAAATAACAAGGTTAGTTAAGTAATTTTGATTTCTTAAGTCAACAGGAGAAGAGCTACAATCAATATCTAACACTTCAATATTTAAAGGAGGAAGTTTTTGTGAAATTGTTTTAAGATATTTTAATGAAACAAGGTATTGAGAATCAAACTCAATAGTATTCATGTATGTTAATGAAGTAACTGTACTTAATATTTCTTGGTCATTTAAACCTCCACTAATTCCTAATTCTTTTAGATTTAAAAGAATTGGAAAATGTGGAAGTGTTATAGTTTCTAAAAAAGTTAAGTTTGTAATATATTCTGAAGGAATAAATTCACAACAACTTAATTTTCTTAGTAATGGTAATTTACATTGAATTGCATTGTATTGAACAACAGTTAAAGCAGTTAAATGAGAAGGGTATTTGAATGAATATTTAGACAACAGTGTAGCATCAAGTTCTTTAATAAAAGAATATTTTGATAAGTCTAAATAAATTGGACAATTTGAAGAGGTACATCTAATACTATTAGGATAATAATTTTTCATTATTGATTCATTTATTAAAGAAGTAGGTTGTACTGAAATTTTAAGTGGTTGAGAAATACAAATCACAGAATCATCATTAGTACTATTACAAAAAGATGAAATTAATTGAATTTTTGAAGATAATTTTAGTTGAGAAACAACATTATATAATCTATAACTTGTTGATATATCAATTACAACTTTTTCTATATTATAATCATCTATTTCCTTTAAAAAATTAATGTCTATATCCCCTCTATATGATGAATATTCTAATAACTCAATTCGATGTGTTTTATCAATAAATAACTGAGATAATGACAGCCATCCTATTGGTCTTAAAACTAATCGTTTTAAAGATGGATATTCTTTTAAACTACTTGGTATTTGTTCGTCAATGAAACTATATTGTCTAATTCTATTTTTTAATTGATTTAAAACATGTTTTGGCAATGGCATTTCTCTTTCTTTAAATTCTAAATACTCAACACTTAATGGAATGAAATCAAATTGATCAAATTCTTTCTCTACAACAAATGTCTGGAGTTGAGGAAAAAGTTTAAATTGTTTAACACCAATATGGTTTACTTGCCATTTTCTTTTAATTTTGTTTTTATCATATTTAAATGAAGGTGACTTATGAACCATACTTAATACGTCAAAGCATTTCTTGTTAATATAACTAAACGTTTCTATACTCTTAATATCTTTAAAAAATAAGATAATATTAGTTAAGTATATCTCTTCTAATTGAACCATTTTTTTTTAAATATTTAAGATGAAGAAAAAGTAATTTTGTTAAATAAAACTCAAAATAAATATTATGAAACAAAAGTCAAAAAAAAAAAGAAAAAAAAAAGAAAAATAATGAAACAATTACACGTAAATAACACGTTATATCAACGATAAGTTTAATCATCAAAATTTATCATATAAAAATACAATGAATTAAATTAAAAATAAGAAAACAATTAAAAATATTATAAAAAAGAAGTAAAGAAGAATAAAAAAAATAGCAATAATTACTTATTTAAATGAAATTTCAAATTTTTATATAGTTTGATTAACAGAATATTGAACTGGAATAATTGCACGAGTTTGAGGTTGTTGTGTCGTATTTTCTTGTGCCTCTCCTCTAGCATTTTGAACTTGCCGAATTTTTTGTCTACATCTTTCACATCCATCAGCAATTTCAATTAATTGACAATTAATTCTTAAAACATCATCATATTGTTTTCTTAATTCATCTAATTGTTGTTGAAGATTTAAAAAAGCTTCTTTACTCTTTTGTCTACTTTTACGAGCACTTTCTTTATTTTTTAATTTTCTTTTAATTTTATTTAAAGTAGCTTTCTCAGATTTAGTAATAGTTCTTCTATCTTTTAATTCATTAACATAATCTTCAAATTCTTCTACAGTCATAGAAGAAAGATCTTCTTCTGACAATAATCTGTCATAAGTAATGTTTTGAAATTTTCTTTTTCTTCTATGTAAAGGGGTATAAGTTTGATCTGGGTATTGAGTTGTTGGAAATTGAGGTGGTGGTTGTTGTTGTGGAAATTGAACTGATTGGGGAATGTAAGGAGAAAATGAAGGGAAAGGAGAATATGGAGTATTACTAGCAACTGGATTAAATGGTTCAGTAACTTTAACAGGACTAGAAGGAGCTTGTTCAGAATAAGGACTATTGACTAACGCCAAATTTTGTTCTGGTAATGAGTTATTTGGTTCCATGATTTGGTTATTATTAGTTTTCTTTTCCTTTAATTATAAATAGATCATTTGTGTTTCAAATTTATGTCATTTTTAAGAACCCTTAAAAATAGAAAATTTTCTCTTTTTAGTGTTGTATCATTTTTTAAAGATTTGTCTACTTCAGTTAGTACTTCTGTATTTGTTGGGACTACACTGTCCTCTAAGTCGAAGGTGGTACACTAGTCTTTTATTAATGAATTTCATTTAAAAGTTCAAAATGAACGTCACAACGACTGAACAACACGTGAGAAGAATGTGGCTTTTTAGAAATTGTGTTATTTAATTTATAAAAATGTTATTACCACACAAGAACTTAAAAAGAAAGAAAAAGAAAATAATAAGTGAAAGAATAAGAAAAGTATTTTAATAGTAAAAAAAATCAAAAAAGATAATATTTTAAAAATAGTAATGAAAAATAAAAACAAAATGACAAGATAGAAAAAATAGAATAATCAAATCTTTAAAATCATAAAGGTATGATCAAGTTCTTATTGGTTGTAAACAGACAAGGAAAAGTTCGTTTACATAAATGGTATACCTCTCATTCATTAAAAGAGAGAGAGAGAATTATTCGTGAAGTATCAAATCTTGTTTTAAAAAGAACAACAGCTGTAAGTAATTTTGTTGAATGGAGAGACTCTACTATTGTTTATCGACGGTTTGTTTATTCTTCTATAGACAAGTCAAAAGTTAATTGAAATGTAGTTATGCTAATTTATATTTTATGACATGTATTGATAAAGGGGATAATGAACTTCTTGCACTCGAAACAATTCATCGTTATGTAGTTATATTAGATAAATATTTTGGTAGTGTTAGTGAAATTGATATCATCTTCGATTTTGCCCGAGCGTATGTTGTTCTAGATGAAGTTATAAACGCTGGTGAATTAATAGAAGCTGGTCCTCAGATTGTTTTAAATGAAATTGAACAACAAGATGAACTTCATCGTTCAGACTTAGAAAAACGATAACTATTTTATCTCATTGAATTGGTTTGTATTGCCATTAGTTAGAGCATTGAAATTAAATTCTTTCTTTTAGTCAATGCTTTTTTGGGTTTTTAACAAAAATGAATTTATTTCATTTAATTAATTTTCCTTCAACTTGATAATTTATAACGCTCAATTTTTTTTTTAAAACAAAACCATTAAATTTTGTCACATTTATTTTAATATCCAACGAAACAAAGTAACACCGCATAAAGAATTGCACATACTGATGTTATAATTATAACTTCTTTTGGATTACTTGAAGAAATGGTTTCAACTTGGTTTTGTGGTAAATCACTATTCTCTTCTACTTGGCATTGTTCTGATGGTTTATAATTCTCTAATTCTTTTTTATTATTTTCAAGTATTATTTCATTAGGAGGTTGGTGTGTAAGTTCATCAATTCCATAAGGATTAATTTTTTGATTTTGATTGATACAAGTTTTTTCATTAGGAGGTTGTAATGTTGAAACACTCATTGATTTATAAGATCTATTTTTCTTCAATTAAAAAGACTTAAAAATGTTTTTCATATCAAATAATTATTTCTTTTTTTCTTTGAATATTCACCTGAAAAAGAATATAATATAATTTAAGACTTGATTTTTTTACTACTTTGGTTTATCTTGTTAAGCAATAATAACTAAAGCGAATAAAAACTACCTGTCAAATAAGACGTGTTATTCACTTATTGCTTCAAACACTAACATCTGTTCTACAACAAAATTGTAATTTCCACACAACGCATTTTTAGCTTCACAATACTCAAACCCATTTGCCCCACAATAACTCTTTTTTTTTGTACCACTTTTCATAACAGCAATATCAGACTTCTCTGGCCAATGAACACTATATCCAAAAGTAAAAAGCCATTCATTCTTACAACTAAACATAACAAATTTTTGGTTACCATTACATTTAAATCTTGTTGGATCACTAAACCTACCATTAGAGTATAAAACAAATACAAACATTGTGTCACTATGAATACAGTAATCAAGTTTATCAATTGTCTTATCAATATATCCACCAAAGATATTTTCATCGCCATCAAAAATTATAAAGAATAAATTCTTTTTACCAATAACCAATTGTTCAAGTTTAGATACTTTATTTTGAACAATTTCTTCTGTTAATGAGTCATATATAAGTTGAATGTCTTTTTTCTGACTCCATTCACACAAAATATTTTTAAATGGTTTAATACGTTCATTGGCAAAACACATCCTTTTATTTCCTCTTTTTTTACTTGTTATTTCTTGAATATTTTTTTTGTTTATTTCTGTAGCTGAGTCAATCATGTTTTGGTATTTAATATTGACTAATTCTATTTGTTTTTCTATGTCTTCTATATCAATTTCTTTTTCTCCTTCTACTTCTTTTTCTTTATATGTAATTTGTTTCTTTTTTTCTTCAAGTTCCTTTAGACTGTTTTCTATGTTCATTTCTTCATTTTTATGCTTATTTCTTATTTTACTAATTTCGTCTTGTCGTTCTTTGTCAATTTGAGCAACTCTATTTTCATGTTTGGTTATTTCCATTTTCTCAATTCTGTAGATAAGGTAGTTGTACCATCTTTCCATTTCTTGACTTATTTGCGTAGAGTCATACACATGTTTTAAACCTCCTTGAATGAGTTTGATAATATTCATTAATTCAAGCACATAACGAACTATAACCTGACGTTTAAGAAAAAGTTCATCTGCTCGATCAAACATTGTTTCTATCCACTTATCATCTTCATTCCATCCTTTTTTGGTGTCAATGAATGATTGGTCGAATGTCTTGAAATTATTAATTGAATTTGAAAGACTTTCCATTAAATCTTTCATCTTTAAACAACTTTCTTTGAGAGATTCAATTTGTTCTTCAAGAGAAAAAGACATAGAATAAAATTTAAATGACTCTTATCTAAAAAAAATTAAAAAAAGAATTTTTACTAAGTTTTTATGGTATATTGGATTTTTTTTTATTTATATCGTAAAAGTTTTTTTTTATTTTTTTTTTATAAATAATTCAATAAATGATTGTAATTTCACATCAATCTGTTTCAAAATAACTCGAATTTATATGTCATTGTATTTCCAATATTCTTTATATACATATCTACCATTAATTCTCATCAACTATGAGTCAATGGGATTATGTTATGAATAGACTCTGGTTAATGGAAAAATAGAATTACTTCTTATGGTTCATGTAAAGTATTACTTTGATAACAATAAATATTGTGTTTTGTTTTATGGATTGTTAAAGAATAAAGTTATAATTTCACTTAAATAAGTGAAAATCATATCTTCCATTTTGTAAACGAGGATATTCTTGAACAAATACCTTATTTTGGAAAAAGTTGATATTTGATAAGGCATTATTTTTTATTGGAGAAGGGTTTATTCTTTTAAATTCAGAAATGATATAGTCTAACGAGAAAAAAGGTATGAGACAATAACTGTAGAAAACTTCAACAAAAACAAAGAACCATCTACAACAAGATTATATTTTATTTATCTTTTTTTAGAAGTATTGAGAGAAAGTTTTTTTCTTAGAATGACAAAATTCAGTTTTTAAAACAGTAAAATAACATACATTATATCCATTTTACCAAACTGAATTAAATACTTATTTCTATTTGACTTAACAACTAATTTCAAGTAGAATACTTTGAAACCAAAGAGAGATGTAAGAATCAGAACAAAATATAAATAAAATAAGATGAAAAATGAATAACAATTAATTATTACTTTAACAAAGTTCAGATAATTTTTGAGCTACAATAGTTGACTTACGTTTCGCCAAATGGATTAACTGGGGGTGTGTTTGAACTAATGACTCTAATGTTTTCATAGCACCAACTTGATGATATTCACCAAATGACCGTTCTATTAAAACCCTTAATATGATTTCGTTTAAATTTTCAATGTTTGAAGAAATTAATTTTGAAATAAAGTCTTTCATCATTTGAGTTGTTTCTGTTTGAAGCCTCATTAAATCAACAACCGCATTGATAATTTCTATTTGTTGAGACTCTGTACATAATTTTAAAAGATCTTCTAAAAGGTTTAGTGACTTTTTTGTTAATAACCCAACAACAATAGGGAGTGCTGAAGGTGTTTTGATGAATGGTATCATTGAAGCAACATCACCTTTATTTAACACTTCTTGTATTTCAAGAGGAATCTTTTTTATAATAGTTTCAAAGTGATCTGAATAGTTATCATCATGAGAAACAACAGTTAATATTGGAAGTCTTAGAGATACTGCAGTGTAAGGAATAGCAGATACTAATGGTAAAGCAAAAAATGATAAGAATGTTGGAAAACATTCTCTTAATGTAAGGATTGATATTAGTGTTGCTGAGTATATTTGTTGACTAATAGAAACTTTTAAAGTTAATATTGGTTGAACAAATTGTAAATATTTCATAAATAAGTCAAAGTACATAAACAAGACTCTATTCTTTTTTTCAGAAGGTTTAGAAAGACTGAGCAATAAACTTCTATGAGAGAATAGTTCAATCCATTGACAAGTAAATTTTGGGAATTGGTTTGGATGTAATTTTTGGAAGAAAGTCATAAAATGGCCCATTAATAAGACAGTGTCAATGATATTTAGTGATTTTTCAATAAGCATTTCTATTAATGAAGAAAGTATTGTTGCATAAATCTCTGGGTTAAATGAAGAAATATTATAATTCTTTTCAAATATAGTACAAACCTCCTTAAATATTTCAGAAAGTAATTCACAACAACGGTTTGGTTGCTTTTTATTATTAATAAAAATAATTCCAATAATTTCCATTGTTCGAATACAATAATCTTTACTTCCCTTATTTATACATTGTATAATAAGTTTACTAACAGTTTTTTCTGTACATTCAGGTGTTAATAATTGAACATATTTTTCAATTGTATCAAGACGAAGTGGTTGATGAACAAAACTAACTAATTTATCATCTAAATGTTGTTTTGTTTCATTTGTCACTCCTATAGCATATGTTTCCATTTGATAATTAGTAACACCACCATATGCAATTTGAAGTTTAGGAGGTAATTGAGGTGCATCATTCAGATATTCAAATCCTTTAGCAACAAATTTAGTATTATTACTAGATATAGCAGCTTGTCGTTCAGGAGTTATTTGAAGAATGAATTGTTCAAGTTGTCGTTTAGCACTTTTTTTAAGTTCTTCTAATTTAATAGAAACAGCCTTTTCTATTTGGGGTTGAAGACTATTCATCACAATTTCTTTTATTTGTTCAATAGGTTTAGAAATATCTTTTTGTTTAATAGCAATATTAACATATGGAATAATATATTTCCAAAGTTTAGTATCTAAACAACTTCTACAAGTATATTGTGATAATTTTTGAGCAATGTTAAATACACGATTCGTAGCTTCTGTGATTTTACTAATATCAGTTTCCATTGCAAAGTCTTTTTGAACCAATTGAATAACAGTTGTTATAATAGCATTCATACTTACAGTAGTTGTTTTGCTTATATCTTGTAATGAAAAGTCAAGAAAACATAGAATAATAATATACCATTGATCTAAAGATAAAGATGGACAAATCAAATACTCAGGCAATTGAATATCAGGAATAGACTTAAGAGATTTAACATAACACAATGACTTTTCTGATAATAACACTTGCTTAAGAGTCTTTTCAGGAATTAATTGTTTATTTTCTACAAATTCATAAAAAATACCTTCATCCCCATTGTTTCTTTCTTTAGCAAATTTACGTAGTTTATCAATTGAGTCTTCAGCAGAAGAACGTAATGGATGACATTCGAGATAATCTTTAGCAGAAATATGAAGTAGTTGAAGTAATTTTTCTATAGAGTTATGATGAGTTAAAAGTTCAGGAGATAAAGAAACTTCACATACTACTTGAAGTAACGGAACAATCCAAGGATTATTTGGAGTGAATATATCAGATTTATTTGAAGAGAATAAGAAGTGAACAACAAATTCTAACATAACATCGAAATTTTCAACTGTTAATTGATCTGTTAATAATGATTTAGGAACTAGTTTATTTGACCTTAATGGTTTATTCATTCCAATAGTGAGAAGACCTAATAATGAACCTAATGATTCAAATAATGAAGCAGTTTGTTTATCATATTCTCTTCGTTTTAATAACATATTAATCATTTCAACAGTAAATAAATTTAGTTTATCCAAAGAAAACCCAAATGATTGTATAGTATCAATACATTTTGGTTGTGTTGATTCTCTTATAATAGCAATCATAAATAATGATGTTTCAATCATTTCAGTCATTTGTGCTGGCTTAAAAGTATTAAACACATTTTCAGATTCTTTTTTAATTTGTTCTATACTCATAGATGATATATCCTCAAAACATCCACATAAAGTCCTAATAACTGAAACACTTTTTGAGTCTAATACTATTTGAGGATAAACACGAGGGTATAATTTTTGAATAAGAGCTAATACAATTGCAAATTTACTATTTGCATTTTCACAAATAGTTCTATACAACTGAGGGTCTTGAGTTTCAATACTCTTAAGTTCTTTTAATAAATAACAATATGTTGGCCATTCATGTAAACGATTCTTGAATCTACTAAGTGCAGTTAATCCACAAGTAAAGAAATTAGATGAAATAGGTTCTCTCAGTGCCCATAAGATAACTCTTAAAATATGAATTAAAGCACAATTCTTTAGTACACCCTTAGAAATTATTTCTCCATATAAATTTCCAAATTGAACAACAACATCAACTTTAAGAAAATCACTAATTCTTTTAAACTCATCAAATAATGTTTTAATAAAGAAAGCAAATAAATCATTATCCGATGTATCATTACTATCACGCATCTTAATAATTACATTAACAATTGCTTCTACTGTATAATTTCCTTTGAAATAATCTCCAAAAATTTCATTTGCTCTTCCTGGAATTGTCTCTTTCTTTGGTGTTTTAGTATAAAATTGTTGTTCTAATTCATTTGCTTCTTTTCTAGACCCACATGAAGAAGCAGTAACTAATAACTGTTTCACTACTTCTAAGTCTAGTTTAAATGGAGAAACTCCAGTAGCCAATAATTGTTTGTCTTTAATGAATTGAATAATTTCTTTACCAAAAACATTTCCTCTTAATTTTCTTTGTTCAATCAACCATTTGTCTAAAATAAACCCATCTTTTTTAACTAATAAGCATGCAATATCAAGCGCAAATGATGTTGGCCTCATTTGAGTAAGAACTTTAGAACATTCCTGAATTCCAATCGAATTAATTATATCATCAATGGAAGATGCATCTTCCATGTATCTGTCTCTGAATCCTTGAGCAATAATAAGAGAATTATTCTTCCATAATGATTGAACAATAGAATATTGTTTTGTATTATTTCTTAATAATGCTAATACTGCACGTTGTCTTCCTGCACTTGCTTTACATTTACATAATATTGGTAATACAACTTCAATAGAGCTATATATGGAATCAAAATCACTACTTGCTCGTTCTCCAATAGAAATAATTTGTTCTACAAATCCTTGTTGTTCCCATAAAACTCTCATACCTCTTTCAACACCAACATTATACAAAGAACAAATATATTTCATTAAATATTGACTTTCACTAGTTGATTGTGATGCAATATGAATAAGTTTTTGTACAACACATCCTTGTGCTCTTCCATTATTCCATTCTTCTTTAAAGAATGAATTAAATGGGAAATCTCCAATTTGTTGGAAGATTCTAATTAATAAAATAATAGCATTTAATGACTTATATTCATATCCTTGAAAGTCCATTACTTTAGCAATAATATTCCAATTTTTACATTTAGGTTTTAATACTGTTCCAATTATTTCAGCATCCCACTCTGATACTGTAGATGAATCATTTGTTGAACGTTCAACACATTGAATTAATAAAACAATTAATTCTCCTACTTGTTGTTCAGTCATTGAATCACCATAAATACTTGTTAATAAAGCAGAAAATGTATCTTTTGAACCAACACAAGAAGTACCTAATTCACCAACAATCTCTTCTGAAATAGTATGAATTGGTGGAAGTGATAAATCTAATGAAACGGGAGTTTTCCATGAAACTGAAAAAATATTAGCATTTGAACAATTAGTTCTATCAATTCGTTCTTTAGGATGTTCACATAAATAATCAAATAACAAAGCAGATGTTAAAGACGTCGGTTGATTAGGAAGAATACCAAATAAATATTCTCCAGAAGGAGTAACCCGAAATGACTTAATTTGAGTAGTTGAGAGTTTCATTGCTGATAATTCTTTCTTAAATAAAACTGCTTGGCTTGATTGTGTTAGAGCATTAATTTCATCTCGTAATGTTTGTAATTTAAATGATTCTCTTCCAACACCATCAGACAATACATTTTCAATTAACGATTTAATATATATAATCTTTCCAGTAATTCCAGTCATTGTAAGAATATCATTAATTTCTGACTGATTTTGTTTCCCGTTCTTTTTTGATGTTGAATAAACAATTTGTTTGATTTGAACTAAACAACTGTCCATAATAATTTTTCTGAGATTTCTTGGTTTAGAGATATTTGCATTTGATTGGTCAACGCTTCTTTTCTAACTTTCTTTTTCTTTTTTTGTTTTTTAGTTTTTGTGAATTCTAAAAATAGAAAGATTAGGTGAACTTTAAATATGAATGATTTCAAGTTGAATAAGGAAAATGAATAGAAATAGAGAATGAAGGATTTTCTTAGGTTAATCTACAATTTAAACGATTCATGACAGCGTTGTACTGCTTTTAAAAATTGTTCCTCTGTTTCTATTGAAGGAGAAATCATGGAAGTAACTTTGGGAGGTAGTGAAGCGTGACTAACTATATGATGAAGTAACCTATGGAACAAATCTAAGATATTGTTGATTGAATATTTCTTGTTTAATTCGATGATATCGTAAATATTTTTCTTAAAATAATAAAGGAGTTGTTGTGGAGTAAGAGGATCATTTGAATAAAATTCATACAAGTTATAATAAATAATATTTAAAACATCTCTTAGTAATGAATGCTTAACTTCATTTGTTGATTCACTGAGAAGTGATGTAAGAAGAGTTGCTGTTCCATTAATAAAGCTGCCAATAATTTCTTCTTTGTTATTTGAAATAGTAGAAAGTGACTGAATCACTTCTTTTGCTACATCCTCTTCTCTTTCATTAAAAATAAGTGTTACAAATAATTCAAAAAGAAGCCTATTGATTTTTTCTTCAATAGGATTATTGTTTGGTTGGACAGGTGTAGTACTTGAGTTTTCTTGTTGACACGTTCTTTCTTGTCTAACTGAATGTAATACTGTTCTTGTATTACCTCGAAACGCATGTAAATTATCAATTGGAATAGACCGAGGTCTCATGTCTAATATTTGGAATGATATTGTAGGGATTGGCCTTGCTATGATTTGATTATCTATAGATCTTAGTTGATTTAAAAGGGTATTGTTAGAATTTGAACTATTGTTATTTTGATTTGAAGATGGAATAGGATTGATTTGAGGTTGGTTAGTTTCTCTTCTTTGTTGTTCTTCTCTAAGTCCATTTTGATTGGTGTTTTGTTGTGACTGTGAATTATTATTCATAGTATTGACAGTTTGTGAATGAACAGTTTGTTGATTTTCAAGAGGGCTTTGTTGTGGTTGAGTAGCATGGCTAATTTGAAGACTTTGGTTATTGATGTTGCGAAGTAAATTTATAAGAGATTGTTCTATAATTTGACTAAACATTGGTTGTTCTTCTGTTTCTTGTGTTCTAGTTACATTATTTGTTTCATTGTTACTTTGAGATGGTTGTGAGTTAGTTGTATTAACTGAAGATTCATTTTGAGTATTTATTACAACAGTAGGAGTTCTTATAACACGAACCATTTCTCCTGTATTGGGATTGTTAACATAAAGAATAATTCTAGGATTATTTCTTAATCCAAAGTCTCTGACCATATCATCCATCAACGCATTTATTGCATCTTCATCATTGCTTATTGTTCTTTGGATATCAGGTGAATATAAATAACATAAAGAATCATCATAAACTTCATTTTGTTCTAAACTTTTGTGAGGGTCTAATATCTTTCCTTTACAAATTAAACGTAGTGGAGTATTAATTTCCATTTGAAAATGTTCAGAGCATTGTAAATATAATTTATCAGCAACCTCATCAAAATTCATCTTAAACATAATAGTCTGGTTTTTCTCAAGGCATTTAACAAAGACTTTGATTTGTTTCTTGTCTTCCATTTTGATTTACTTCTTTTTCGTTCGCTACTTTTTTTCCTTTCTTTTTCAAAAACCTCACTGAACCCCTTTTTTCTTCTTTTATCTAACACTCATTCCTTTTTCAAACAAAGGTGATTCTAATGGAATCACTCAATAAAAAAACAATAAAAAATCTGACACAAAACAAGTTAATTCCATCTTCATTATTATATCTTTCATTACTTTTCGATTTTTGATGACGTTTCTTTTCCTTTACATAAAACCATCTCGGAATAAACTGAAAATAAAAAATATCATGCCAGAGTCTAAAGTGTCTCCAACCTTTTTTGTTATTGCTATCGTTATGTGTTTTTTTATGACTTTTTTGTTCTCAATTACAGTATCAAGATTAGTTCTGTTAATACCTTTTGTTTCATATGATAATGACTTATCAACTGTTGGACGTGATTTTGCAATTACTTTAATTATCAGTCTTGTGGTTCCACATATTTTTGTATTCTCAACATTTGTAATTTTCGGATGTGACTTTGTTTTTAAAAGTAAGTGGTTCAGAATAATTAATTTATATTCATCAACTATAGACCTTTGTATCTTTAATTTAATACCATTCTCTCTTATCTATGATGTGATAAACATCGTATTGATTTCAACAAAATTATTTGGCAGTTCATTATTTAGAAATGACTTATATCACCGAGGTAAGTTTATATCGTTTATAACTGGAAATTATATGCCAAATAATTACCGAATTACAATATTTTGTTTAATTATTCTTTGTTCAATTCTTTTCGATATTTATTCATTATGGCAAGGACATCGTTTACCATTCAAACATATCACACTTACATCTCCTAAAGTTTCAAAAGAGGTACAGTTTGTTCATATAAGTGATGTTCATATTGGCAGTAGATTCCTTTCACATTCACAACACATAGTCAAAAAAATACTTCCCCTTCACCCAGATTTTATTGTTCTTACTGGTGATTTAACTGATTCTCCAAATGTTCAAACAGAAGAATTAATGCCATTTAAAGCTTTAACAAATGAATGTCCAGTTTATATGTCAACAGGAAATCATGATTATATGACAGGAATACAACATTTACTAGTTATGTTAAATTCGTGTGGGATTACTCTTTTACAAAATAGAATGAGTATAGAAGAAAAATACAATTGTGCTATAATTGGAACTGATGACAGTAATACTGAAGAAGAATATGTTGAAGAAATGAATATGGTATCTCAATTACCATCTTCTGAGACTTACAATATTATTTTACAACACCGTCCATTCGGATATAAACAAACATGTGAAAAAGGGATATTTGATCTTATGCTTTGTGGACATACTCATGTTGGTCAATTTGCACCATTTAGTGTTATTGTTTATTTATTCTTTAAAAAGGCATATGGATTATATACTATTAAGTCTAATAGAAATAGAATGTATTTATACACTCATCCAGGAACAGGTGCATGGTCAGCCCATATGAGAAGTGCTGGAACAAATGACATTACTATCTTTCATATTAAGCCTTTAGAAAATTGAAAGAACATACAGTCAATTATCACTTTATTTTATTGCATTTTATATTGTTTTCCTCTTTGCTTAGTAAGGTCATCAGTTGGAAAATTGAATTGGAATAAAGAATCCCAAAAATTAGGTTCAGGTGGATCAACTGTTTGTCCACCTCCTTTCAACATTTCATTTTCTATCTTTTGTAAGTATTGATCAAATGCACCAGTTGTAGAAAAGAAATCAATGAATTTTCTACTTCCTGCTTTGTAATTATATGTTTTCTTATATTTTTTCATATCCATTTCAGCAACTAATGTCCCTCGTTTATTTTTTAATGAAATAAATGTTTCTGGTGCTTGAAGAAGTTTAAGAATATATTGATTAAATGTTTGTTTAAGCATAACTGGTATTTGTTTTGGCATTTCCATCAAAACACTCTTTAAACTTTCTCTTAAATATTGTGTTGCGAATTCTGGGAATAAATTTTTATCTTGTTGTATCATAAGAGGGTCGTTTGAACGAGTAGTTCCATTGTCTAAATCAACAACAACCACTTTATTTGTTAATGGTTGCATTAATGAAAATTGGTATGTTGATATCCCACAAATGAATGGAGTTGGAAGGTCAACTAATTCACTATAACAACGTGGTAAGAGCGTAACTATGGGATGAGGCCAAGACAATGGCTCAATAAGTTCTAGTGCTGATAAAATGAAACAAGTAACTGTTTCATAGTTACTACCAACAACAATAATTCTTCTTTCACATAATATAGAATTAAATAATAACATGACTTGAGAAAGCAGAAGTTTCTCAACAACAATAGGAATATCCATATCTAAAATTTTTTCAGTTGAAAGAGGACGTTCTGGAGATTCTAAAATATCATTGAGATATTTTTCAAGACCTTCAAAGTTATTTTTCCAATATGTTTGGGAGCGAATAACGACTCTTCTAAAAAAAATTTCCCAACAATAAAAACTTATCAAACAAATACTACCATCTTCTGTTCTTAATGTATGACCATATTGTGTGCCTGATGGTGTTGTAAATGTTACAATAAAATAACTAGGAAGAAAATCAGTTTCTGGTAATTCTGGATAAAGAAATAGATGAATATTTGAAGGTGCTTTGAAAGCAGAAGGAAATGAGAATGTTGGTTTAATAGGATTAGAATTCTCTTGTAATTCAGTAGGTGGTTGGATAAAAACACATCCTTCAAAGAGATGATGGTTCCATTCTTGTTGCATGAGGGGAAAGAGAGAAACAGAAAAAAGTTCTTTTTCTTTAAAAAGAGACTTTTATTGCTTCTATTTATTTCTTTTTTTCATATGAAAAAACTTAAAATATAAGAATGAAATAAAATTATGAGATTTCATCATTTTTTTTTTTTAATTCGTTTGTTTGTATTGTTCTATGTTTATGCAATAATAAACGAAGAATCTCTCTTAAATCTTCATCCTTCGTCGAAATCATATCAATAAAGTAATCATATAAGAAATCAACAATCTGATAATAAACGGTGTCGTTAGTTATTTTTATTAATTGATTTGTGATTGATATTATTACACTCTTTGTAACAGACAAACTATATTCACATTTATTATCAACATAACATTTAAGTAATGTTTGAGCAAATAAGAAATATAATTCTGCCATTAACTCTCTGTGATGTTTATCACTAGTAAAAATATTTAAATACATTTCAAATAATTGAACAACATATAAATCATAAATTTCAATAAGTGTTTCTGACTTAACTAATGAACTTACATCTTCTGGGTGTTTATTGAATAGAGTAAATAATTCATTAAATACATTAGTTAATTGAGTAAATAAAATTACCATATCATCATCAGAAATAATTTTAGTGAGTATATTAAATAAAGCAAATAATGCTTGTGAGACATTATTAATTCCTGAAATTTTTTCAATTAGTGAAGATGTAAATTGTGGTAATGATTGAGTAAATTCTTGTCCAGTAACTAGAGAAAGATGTTTTAATTTAACTTGTTGTAAACAGATCTTTTTATGTGATTGGGTATCTTTAATATAACATTCTTCACAACAATATTTTTGTTTACCACAAATTGGGCAAGTCATTAAATATTCACTAATAACTTCTTTCATACAAATCATACAATTTCCTTTTAACTGTTTTTCCTTTGGTTGACTAACTTCTATTGTTCTATCAGATTGATATTCATTATAAATAGGTATAAATTGAACAACTGATGTACAAAATACAGAAAATTTCTCAATGAATGAATGCATTAATACAGTGTCATTAGTATTTGCAACTCCACCAATAAATTGATTAATAAATGATAATGCAGCTGAAGAAAAAGCTGGCCCTTCATGAAATATAACATAAAAAGCAAATTCAATAAGTTCAACTAATAACATACAATACTCATGTTGTTCTAATAAGAAATCAAGAGTGGCAACAAATAGAATTTCAAAAATATTACTTACCCATTGATTTGATATATCAGTAGTAAATAATGGTAATACACAATCTGTCAATATTGTTTCCATTAGTCCATGACTAGTAACATTACCAATTGATCTTAATAACCCAAAAAATATTTCTATAGAATTTGTTGCAACAGAAATATATAATGAATGGATATTTGTTGATAAGACTTTGAACATTGGAATAATATTCCTATAACAATTATCATTTAATTCAACTTCTTTTTTACCAACAAAGAAATTTGTTAAAATCATTTGAATCAAAGAATTAACTTGTAACCCAACTTCTTCAACAGACTCAAGTCTTCCAAAAGACTTTAAACATCTTAGGAATAAGAAGAAATACTTTTCATAATAAGGACATTTCTCAAATAATTTATATACTTGTTTAAAAAATTGGAAAGCAAGAATTGATACTCTAGCTTCATCAACAGAGGCAAAAAGAATTATATCAAATATTGTTTCCCATCCACTTTTTAAATTCTCTCCACATTTCTTATTTGTTAAGATTTGTTGAAGAACTTGAATAACAAATTCTCTTACATTAACACTTGGATGATCTGAAATAATAACAACAAAAGGTTTCAAAAATTCCTTTTGGTTTTCAACAGAAACTTCTTGACTCATCATTGATTTCATTGTTAACTGTCGAAGATTATCTAACACTGACATAGCAACATCTTCAATTGGATGTAGTCCACATCGAATATAAAATGGAACCAAATACTTCCATATTTTTTGGAAAACAATTTCACTTCTTCCAATATTTGCTTCAGCTGAAATGACTAATTTTTGAAGAATATATATTCTTGGAATAGGAGCTTCTAATTCTTTTGTTGCAGCACCACATAACCCTTTAAAGAAATAAACAATTGCTTCATCAGAAAAGTCTATTGTATTATAAACACTACCTAATTCAACATCTCCTATATCAAGAATACATTGTGGAACATTTTCAGTTAATAACACACGTTCATTTACTGGTCCTTTATAGTCAGAAGAATATTCAAATCTTTTTATTCGTTGTTCTTTAATTGGAACTTTATTAGACTCTTCTTTCCACCCAGAAGCTAGCATATGTAAACGTTCCATCTTTAATATAACTTGAAGACAATCCTCCCAACAATCTTCAAGATATTCAAAATCAGTTACACAAACATCAATTAATGTTTGTACAGCCATAACATTTCTTTGTGATATAGTATTTACAACATCAAGATGAGTAATTACTAATAATGCTTTTATAATTTGTGGTTTTGTCTCATGTCTTAGAATGCAAGCCATATGAATTGTATCAATTAATCCTTGAAGGATTAATTTAATGTCTTCTATTTTATCAATATTTTCAAATGTTCTTTCAATTGATTCTGCTAATGGAACAGCAATAGTTTCATATAATTTTAATGGAACTAACGTTGATTTTTCTAAAATAAATGGTGTAAATGTAGATCCTTTTAATTTAGCAATACAATAGTCTTTCATTTTTTCTAAATCAGATTTAATTTGAAGTATTCTTTTCTTTCCTTGAAATTCATTTTTATTTGTTTCATTGATTTGTTGAACAATAGATATTTTAGGAAGATGAAATGCTTCTTTAGTTGTTCGTTCATAAATTCCTTTAAGAATATTTTCTTCAATAGAAAGTCCAAATCCAGAATTAATAACTTCCTTAAATTTTTCAAATGTATCCATTGCCTTTGTTTTTGCTGATGGGTTATGAGATTCTGTTGATAAGAAAATTACACTTGTAGCTAATTGATAAATATTAACTGAATTCAATGACATTTTAGTTAGTCTTTCTTTATTACATTCAAAATAATGATTTCCAAAACATTCCATAACTCTATCAACGACTTGAGACTCTCCTCCCATAACAAAGAGATTAAATACCATTCGTAATCCTTCATCAATTTCTTTATCTTTAAAATCTAAACTATTAATACATGCTTTTAATACTTGTTGATTAAATTCATCATGTTTTCCAACATAATCTCCAATAGCGACTTTGTCTAAATCAACATTTTTAGTAAAAAATTCTACAATATCTTCAACTGATTCACCACAAAAACCTCCTTCTTTAAATAGTTCTATTCCTTTCTTAGAATTTTCTTTGAAAATTGTTTTGATGTCATTGTACTTTTGTTTTAAAGCAAGTAATTCATTTATATTAAAACCTCCTTTGGGAGGTTCAGTTACTTCTTTTCTAAATGATTTTATTACTTGTCTTAATGTACTAATTGCAAAATGTTTTACTGAATAATCTTGTTCATTTTCAACTAGATATAATAAAACAAAAATCATTTCAGTTATAATATTTTCTCCATATAATTCACAGTCACAATTAATATATATTTCACAAAAAGCATTTTTTTCACAAACAAAGTTTAATAACTCTAATATCTTTAATTTCATTGTTGGAAAAATAATTGGATGTCTTAATAGTGGTATATAAATAACATGAAATACTTCATTTAATAATCCTTTAAATAAAACTCGGTGTTTCATTATTGATTTAACTAATAAAATAGACTCATCAAATAATAATTCATCTGTTGATGATAATATAAGACATTCTTGTATATCTTGATAAAAAGACTTATTTTCTTCAATCACTTTTTTGAATGAATTACATGAACGTAAAGTAGGTGAAAATGTATCTAACCATGTAGATATTAATCTAAGACTATGTAATTGACATTTTAAGTCAAGAGTTTCTTTGGCTTCATTTGTAATTGTTGAAAGAAAAGTTTTGAATGTAGTATCAACAGTACTTCTTTGTGTCCAATGTGTTGTAGTGAGGGAGTATAAATAATGTAATAGTTCGATCGAATCATAGAAACATGGAAGAATATCATTTATTACTGGAGATGAAATACTTGAACGTTTATTTTCTTTTTCTTCATCAATTACCGAATTAGCCATTTCCATTTTCATAACAATAACACCAATTAATTGAGTTAAATTATTAATAGCTGAACTGATACTTGACTCATGAATATTTAATAATAAAGTAGCATCAAAAATGACTCTAAATGCCCTTAATAATAATTCTGAATGAATATGATGAGTTTGAGAAATAATGAAAGTACTAACACATTTGATAATCGAAGTGTTTAGAGTTGTATTTGCAGTATACTTAAATGAAGAAAGTACACATTCTACTGCAACATCATATAATACAGGTGGAATATAACCACATGTAGCAGAAGACTCAATAAAATCAATTAAACTACCGCTAATAATAACCTCTTTTGGAGGACATTCATTCATTAAATTAAAAATAAATTCGAAAAGTTCTTTATGTGATCCATTTAATAACATTTTTTTATAATTTGGAGAGGATATTATCTTTTTTAATTCTTCACTTTTTGTCTTAAGCGATCTCACTTTTTTTGTCAAAGAAACTATATTGTCTAATAACGAATCAATCGCAGACATGAATTGATGATTTTCAGTTCTTGTAGTTATTTCATTCATATTTTCTGTTTTTTGTTTTTCATTTATTTTTGTTATAAATAACATTAAATTAAAAGTAAAAAGGCAAAAATAAAAATAGAAACTTAAAATCTTAAAAAAAAAGAAAAGAAAGATGTCTGAGAATGTAAAGCTCGTAGTTGTTGGTGATGGTAATGTTGGAAAAACATGTATGTTGATGTGTTATACTTCTGATGAATTTCCAACTGACTACATCCCAACTGTATTTGATAATTATGTTGCAAATGTAGTTGTTGATAATAAAAAAATTAACCTTGGATTATGGGACACTGCAGGACAAGAAGAATATAATTCTCTCAGACCTTTATCATATCCACAAACTGATATTTTTTTATTGTGTTTTTCAGTAGTTTATCATGCGTCATACATTAACGTGAGAGATAAAGTTTGTTTTGGTTTGCTACAAGTTAGTCCCTATTCTTCTAAAATTGACAATTAGTGGGTCCGTGAAGTTCGTCAACACTGTCCAACAGCTAAATTAATGGTTATTGGAACAAAAATAGATTTAAGAGATGACCCAAAAGAAGTAAAAAATTTACAAGATAATGGAGAAGCACCTTACACAAAAGAAGATGGAGATAAATTAGCACATGACCTAAATGCATATTGTTATATGGAGTGTTCAGCACTAAAACGAGTTGGTTTGAAACAAATATTTGAACAAGCTGTTCGATATACATTAAAAGATAGAAATGAAAAAGATGGTAATGTTACCAAAAAGAGTGAAAATAAAAAATCTAAATGTTACATTTTCTAATTGAAACGTTTTAATTCAAGTTATGGATTATCTATCTCTTCGTTAGAAAAAATCTTTGTTTTCTCTTTCTAGTTTGATATTTTTAGTTATGAGAAAATATTTTTTCTAATACAAAAACAATATTGTATTTCACTCTAACAATATGAAAAAATATGAAACAATAATAATAAAGTTGTTCTTTTTGTAGTAGTAAAGATATTAACAAAAAAAAAAATAGAAAAACATGAAAATAAATAAAAAAACGAATCTTATTTAAAGAACTTAAATTAATCTTATCTTATTATTTTCATAACATCATGCTTCAACATGGATTCTTTTTAAATAATGGAAAATTCATGCCTGCTATTGGATTAGGTACATGGCTTGCAGCTCCAGGAGAAGTTGGAAAAGCTGTTACATTAGCTTTAGAGAATGGGTATAGACTGATTGACTGTGCACGTTTTTATAAAAATGAAAAAGAAATAGGAGAAATGGGAATTGAACCATTCTTAAAGAACCACCCTCGAGAAGAGTTGTTTGTTACTTCTAAACTATGGATGGATCAAGTTACAAGAATAAGAGAATCTTGTTTAGAATCTATTCAAGACTTAAAATGCAAATATCTTGATTTATACCTTATTCATTGGCCAATTGCTTTAAAGGTTGATGCTTCTAATCCACCAAAACCAGAAGATTTCTTAGATATGGATATTACTGAAATTTGGCAAGAAATGGAAAGATTAGTTGATGAAGGATTAGTAAAATCAATTGGTCTTTCTAATTTCACTATTCCACAAATTGAAAAAATTATGAAAATGTGCAGAATCAAACCAGTTATTAACCAGGTTGAATTAAATGTTTATTTACAACAAAATAAATTAAGAGAAGTATGTAAAAGTTATAATATAGTGGTTGAAGCCTATCGTCCAATTGGAGGAAAACCTGCCAATGAAAGTGATAAAAATTGTTTAGATGATGAGGTTGTAGTTAGTCTTGCGAAAAAATATAATAAAACCACTGCCCAAATTTGTCTTCGTTGGTTAGTACAAAATGGAATTATTGCAGTTCCAAAAAGTACAAATCCAAATCGTTTACTTCAAAATTATCAAGTCTTTGAGTGGTCTCTTTCTAATGAAGATATGAAAGCATTGGAAAAACGTAATTTAAATAAAAGAAATGTAAAATTTGAAAATTATTGGAATGGAAAAACATATGAAGAATTTTGGGGAGAAGAACAATAAATGTTTAATTAAACTCTTTAATTAAATATTTTTTAATAATCGTTTGGAAGTCCAAATATTTTTGGGTCAAATTCATTAAGTGACTTAAGTACTGTATGTGCATTTTGGAAATATGGATCTTCTGGATGTTCATGGTCTGGGATTGCTACTGTATATGCACCAGAAGCTATTCCTGCTTGAACTCCAAGTACTGCATCTTCAAATACAATTGCTTGTTTCATATCAGTACATCCAAGTAAATGACCAGCATGAAGGAAAATTTGTGGATTTGGTTTAGCTTCCTTTACATGAGGATCATCTCCAAGAACAATAACATCAAAATAATCTAACATTTCTTTTTTTCCTTGCATTTTAATATCAAAAACTGCCTTTGTTGTTGAGGTAGCAAGGGCAATTGGAATATTGTGTTTTTTAAAGTAATTTAGAATCCTCATAGCACCAGGTAATGGTTTTACTGTTGGCCATAACTTATTAAGCGTTTCAATTTTATACTGAATTGCATGTTCAAGGGTGTCATTTATATGATAAGTATCAAGTAAAATTTGAGTAGACACATTAATGTGTCTCCCCATTAATTGTTTCTTAACGTCATAAGTAAACTTAACTCCATTAGCATATTCATCAAGGTATTTTTGAGTAGCTATAGTGTATATCGTTTCAGTATCAAGCAATGTCCCATCAAGATCGAAGATAGCATATTTAATTTGAGGGGTTTGAGACATCAATCAAATTAATGAAGTAGTTGAATCTTTTTTAATGAGTAAAACCTAGAAATCTAGAAATTTCAAAAAGGGGTTTATTCTTCATGTTACTTTTCTTTATTTTCTTTGGTGTTGCTTTTTCACATCAGTCTGACTTTACTATTCTCCCTTCTTCACCAACAATGCATATCTCGTATGACATTAAAAAAAATGCAGTCAAAAGTGAGTCTGCATTAATAATTGCTCATTTTAATTCTGGATTTCCTTTACCTACACACCTTATTCCAAAAGATGGTACACAACGAATTCAAATTGCAACAAAACGTCCTCATGCGGTTGCTTATAATTTTTTCAGAATAAAAGAATATTCATCTCCAATTGAAATGAATATTTTCACCTTAAATGGTAATTATTCCAATCCATCTGAAAGATTTAATGAAATTATGAATGATTTTGCAGGAAGAAAGTTTAAAGAAATAGGTGAATATGATAGTTCAGTAATAGACTTAATACATTCGACGTTAATCAGTGTTGAAACAAATTACACTAAAGATACTGGAGATTATTATTTTGTTGAAATGGCAGGAGACCAATCATATTATAACTATAATTTTACTGAGAGTATTCTTCAAGAAGATAGAAAACGGAAAGAAGGGAAAAGTAAATATACTGAGATGTACAACTATTTGATGGATTCATTAGATAATGTTAGAAAAGAATGGGGATTAGATGATATTCAAACAAGTGAAAGAATAGAAAGTATTATTTCCTTTGATTTTGTTAATAAAGTTTTCAATTATTCAGAAATCAGTGTTATATTTAATGAAACAATGACTATAAAATATCCTAAAATTGAAGAAGATCATACTCGATTATTAACATATTTAACATCATGTGGTACTGATATAATGACAAAAGAACATGTTTGTAAATTTACTCGTCATAGACCAGCAAATGAAAATGGACAAGTTGTTACTACTCCTCAAATTAAAAGAGAATTGCCAAAAGGTGCTTTTATTCAACACCTTGAATCTCCAAAAAGTAATGCATTCAAAAATTACAGTCTTGAAGTAAGTCCTTTATTTATGAATGCATCTTGTTTTCATTGTTCTGTTTATTATTTATACAATTTACCAAGCGTTGTTTATTTTAGTGAAGGTGATATTAAAAAGATTACAAACCAAAAATTAAATTTAAAGGTTGTTTCTTGGCTATCACACTATTCTCATCTCATTCTTATTCAAAGAAATACATCATCATTTATTGATTCATTTTCAATTCCTTTCCATGTAATCCCAACAGCTATTTCTGAACCATTTGAAATTCAGATTCCATTAGTATTCCAGAAATGTCCAGTTCATTGTAGTCAACATTTCTTGTTAAATCATCTTCTTGAATATAATAAGAATGATTCTTCTATTCATGAAGTTTATGAAACTTCTAAAATTAATTCTATTTTATTTGGATGTACAGATACTACAATAAATCAAGTGTATGACCCTCATTGTGAAAAACAAATTGTAAAAGGAAATACACCTAAACTTATAACTTGGGTAGATGAATTGATGAAATATAAAAATTTCATTATCATTTATACAACAAGTATTTTCGGTTTAGTCATACTTGCTGCATTCTTCCTTTAAACAAGATTCTTATTGAATTATCACATTTTATTATTTTAAATGTTTAGTTCTAGTTTAATTAAACTTATTACAAAAATTAATAATAAAAATTATCAGAAAATAACAATCTTAAAAAAACAAATTTCAATTCTTTACAATAAATGGACTTTAGTTTTTCTTTTGGTGGGTTATTAACAAGTATTCTTCTTTTTGTTAATTCTATTGTCATTCTTAACCAACAAAGACTTCTTAAACCTCGTTTGTTTTTTTTTTTACTAAAACAAAAGAAATAGGAGGTATTAATAAATGTAGTTGGTATCGCTTATGATGACAATAATAAAGATAACGAAGAAAATAAAACTGTACGAGGAAGATTGAGTTGGTTCTTTTATCGAACACAAGACTTAATGAAATATCCATTAATAGTTTTAAATACAATAGTCATTGGATTCTTGTTAATTCTTGGATAAACTAATAGTTAACCACTAAATCATCCGCTTTTGTGGATTATTTTAATTTTTTTTATTTCCCCTTTTTCAGTAAAAAGAATAGTATTTAGTTCATTATCCTTCTAATTAAATTTATATTAATTAATGTCATAATACTCTCGTTTGTTTCATTCATTCATTAATCATTTTTATTTTTTAGAGTAAAAATATATATCTTTAATGAAAAATGTCTTATTTCTTTATTCATAAAATGATTAATAGGCATAAAAATGTAACAATGACTTATATATGTGTGTAATATTATATTCAACATTTGTTAACTCATTTTTCTACAATCAGGTTGAACATTATTAGTTAAAGAAAACTATTAAAGAAATAAATTTCATATTTTTTTAAAAGAAAAAGAAATAAAACAAAAAAAAGCATATTGAAGTAATATTCTCAAACATTAAACAAAGGATTTGTCAAATATATTTAAATTTCAATTTATAAAAGTATAAAAATATTTTAATTGAATAACTTAATAAATATTGAAAAAAAAACCATCAATTAAACACTTTTTTAAAGTGATAAATCAATTCCAAAAGAGAGTTGATTTTTCTGGTCTTCATAAGAATGGAAATATTGAATCTTTAATTTAAGAAGATTAGTAATTGGATGTGTAATTTGGGCAATGGCTTGTTTCTTTGAAGTAATAATCAATTTACAATTTCCAACATTTTGAATATTACTACTAATTGCCGTTTGAGCTTCAAATCTTTTATTTTTAAAATAAGCTTCAGAAGCAATAATAATATTATTCCATTTTCTTAATAATCTTGCACCAATTATACAAGCAGAATAATCACTAAAACAATTATTATACTAATGAAATAAATGAATAAAAAAAAAAGAACAAACAAAAAAAGAGAATATTTCTTGTATGGAGATTCTTGATAACAAATAAATCCAGAACTATTTTGTTGAATTTGTTCTATTCCATGAATAAGTTCTTTCACAGAAGTTTTTGTTTCATTATTATCATCTATTGGAGTTTCTTCATTTTGTTTAATAAATACAGGTGATAATTTATTTGAAGGAAGAAGATAATTAATTCCAATAAAAATATTTTTATATATTTGTGCAACACCATTTACATTAACTTTTTGAATTGTTTTATCTTTTAAAATTGCATCAAATGTAAATGAATAAAAAGGTAAACTACTAGAAACTTTTATTTGTTGAGAATTTGTTGATACATTTAGTGAAGTTTCAATTTGTTTATATCCAAATTTACTTATAATTTGAGGACAACTATTATAAGTAAATTTTGGAGTTGTTTCTGTGTCGTCACTTTCTCTAAATCCAAATGTTGTTTTCTATTAATCAATTTCTATTTCTTTATATTCTTTTTAAAACTAATAGTACAAACAGAACCAAATGCATTTACTGAAAGTGTTAAGGGAGATGGATTTCTTGTATCAAAAATTTCTAAAAATTGAATATATTATTAAGAATAAATATTATAAGAAGAGTATCAAACGTTTAGTAAAATTGAAAGTATCAAAAGGTGCAGTTTTACCCAACATTTAAATTAAAATAATAAGATTTCACTGTTGAATTTTTAAATTGAAAAATAAAAGTTTCATTAATTGAATCTTATTTTTTTTTTAAAGAAATTCTAAAAAAAAAAAATTAAAAAAAAATTAGTTCAAAAAAACTTTAAAATCATAATTTTATTATGTTATTATTGACTCTTATTGCTCTCTCTTTTGCTGTAAATGTCCCTACAACAAAATCAAATTCTATCGATAAATATATTCAAAAAATTCGTCTTCCAACTTGTTCATTTACAACTGAAATGTGTAAAACATGCAAAAATCATATTGTTCTTCAAAAAGACTATTGTGATAATCCTAAAAAAGATGACCAAAAATGTATTTGTTCTGCGTTTAAAGGTAATTGGAAAAATTTCTTCGAAGATGTTGAAGACACTATTAGAACTGCTGAACAAGCTTGTGCTTATGTTTGTTCAAATGGAACTATTCCTTTAGAGGGTAATATCTCTTTGAAGTCAGGAGTGTTAGTTTCTAATGGATCTACAATGGTAATGGTTCTTGCTTCACTTTTGATGATGCTCGTTTTTGTTTAATCAAGTTCCGTCTTTTCTCATTTTATGTTATATATAACTTATGTAAATCCTGCATTAACCAATAACTTTTTTCTTAAAAATTTATAACGAATTTTCTTTTTTTTTTATTATTTAAAAATCAACTCTAAGAAGAGTTGATTCAATTCTCTTTTTTTATTTCAAAAAATTCATCTTCAAAACAGTATATGTTCCTTCTTATCCTGTTCTTATTTCAATTCGTTGTTTCAAATGATATGGGGTGTTACATATATTATGAATCAAATAAGAACGTTTTAAATTATGGATTTTATAATGGTAATAACTGTATCTACTCAGGAAAAGGATGGCAATATAATGGTCCTAATTTAAATTCTAACAAGTTTATATTTAAATCGGATTGTTGTGAAAATGGATTACCATACATGAGTGTTTTAATCAATGAAGCTGCTTCAACAGAATTTAGTTTTGAGGCAGACGCCTCTATTAAACATTTGTTTGTGAGGCCTGCTTGGGGTAAAGGAAAATACACTCAATTTAACCTTGAAAAATACAAATCATTATTATATATTACTGTCGAAAGGAAAGAGTGTTTTGATGATACAGAAACTCAAGAAAATCTTTTGATTTATGATAAACCTGCAATATTTCATACTACATTATGTTCTAAGACTTATATATCATGGGAAATGGAAGATCGTCCATACTTGTATTTGTACCAAAATGTGAATGACACCGCGAAAAAAGAAATATGGGTAAAAGAGATATATAAAGAAGGATGTTGGTATGCATTTAATACTAATGGACAACAAAAAATTCCAGATACTATTACAAATGGAGTGCTCAAAGAAGTATCAAATATTCAGGGGTTTAGAAGATATGTTATTTGTAAAGGACAAACAGAGCCACAGCCTGATTCATCATGTAAAATTACAACAGGATCAACAGATGTACAAATTTCAAGATCAACAATCAATTATCCTGATTGTTTGTACAATGGATCATTATATACATTAACAGTGCCTAATAGTTATACTACAATTCGTTTCTTCAATGATTATGGATTGGAGTGGAATGGTATATATTTTGAGAAAAGAACAAATCCACTTAATATTATCATCTCAAAAAAAAATATTCTTAAAGTCAGTGGCTCTTCTGTTACTCTTCCAAATCAACCGATACGCGTAGATGGTTATATCTCATTTAATATTTTAGTATTATCAAATGTTGAAACAGGTAATCATTATTTTCAAGAATTATCAGCTGAAAGAATTGACGATTCATCTATCACTACAGATAAAGTGTTGTTTATTGGTAAAGAATTAAAATCAAGCAATGAAAATATTAAAAGTGTAAGTTGTGGGAGTTCTAATAGATTTGTTAAAGTAGAATCTCAAATCCAATGTGGTTGTGTATATTCTGATGGATATGATGTTGATGATTGTTCAGAAATAAGTTCAACAGCAGATGCATTAATTAAAGAATCAATTATGTTAACAATCAAATCAGATTCTTTCAAAGAGTCAGACTCTTATTGGTATTCAATAAATTATAAACCAGGTGATGGTCAATTTTCTGGAACGCTTATTGCTTCAAATTGTCAGATTGGAGGTTCAATATCTCTAGTTGGGAAATTAAAATGTACTAAGCTTATTCTACAATCAGACACTACTATTGCAATTACACCTTCAGGAGTATTAGATGTATCAACATTAGAAACAAATACAAATAAAATTAGTATCACAACACAGAGTGAAAATAGTCTTATCATTGGTTCAATCACAACATCATCAGAAGTCAATATTATAGGTGCTCTAAGTGAATTAAAGAAATTAACAGTCAGTCAAAATGCAAAAATTATGTTTTCATCTGTTATTACAATTGATAGCATTTATGTAGACCCATCAACACAAACAAATACAGACTATACAATTATTAACCAATATAAAACAACAATTAATGAACTTATTACAACAACAAAGCTTAGCCTCAAAATTTCTAATCTTATATTTGGACCAAATATAAAATCTATTTATATTAACAAATTAACAACAGACAAACCACTAACTTTGAGCAACTCGGTGACAACGTTAGTTATTGACTCTATTGACATTAAATTTATACCACCTACCTTCTTTATTATTACAAATAAAAGTGAAAATGAATTAAAAGTAACAATTAATTCAGCATCTGGTATAGAAGAACCGTTTTACTTAATGTCATTGAAAGAACGAAAAGTAACATTTACTAATTCAATGAAAACAATGTGTGATGAACAGATAGCAATATTTGGAACTGTTGATGATGGATTATGTGAAAATAAGGGATATGGAAAAAAAACATGTTATAAGAGAGATGAAAGTCAATACTATTATGAGAGTGAGTCATCTTCATTTTTTGATTATTCATGTCCAGGACATAAATCTCAATATGTTACATCAACGTTATATATATCAGCATCAACAATTAATATTGGTAATGATGAATATTATTCTAATATATTTGTAGTTTCACCAACAACAATAACTGTTTCAAATTATGAGTTGCCATTAACTCTTCAAGCAAATGTTGTGATTGCTGGTGATATGAATTCAATATTAGTTAAAACTAATGATAAATACACAATTAATACCAATGGGGGAAATAATCAGAATTTAATTATTGCTGATACGTCTTCTTGTGGAATTAATGATTCATCAAGTGTAATAGAAGCTGATGGAATTTGCACTATTGGTTATTCAACACCAACTGGAATGAAGTGTAAGAAGTGTAGGTATGGATTTAATTCTGATGGAAGTTGTATTGTTGTGTCATCAACAGATGTTCATAACTGTATAATTATTTCTCCTAATGGTAAGTACTGTTTAAGGTGTAACACTGGGTTTTATATAGAAAATGGGAATTGTCTTCCTTGTGGACAAAAATGTCTAACGTGTGATTCAAGTCAATGCTTTATTTGTGAAGACAATTACATAAATGATAAATCAGATGAAAAAAAATGTATTCAAAATTTTGCAGTATGCTCTTTCTCAAAGAATAATATTTGTTTGAAATGTCCTCAAGGGAAGATGATAGACAGTGATCATACAGGTTGTTCTACGTCATGTGTGGATGGTTGTTATTTATGTCAAGATAATACAAATTGTGACATTTGTAATATAAGTGCTAATGCAATTAAAAGTTCAACAACATGTAGTGTTACTTCTAATTCAATTAATGTAAGTAATTCAGGAATTATTCAATGTTTACCAGGATATTATTTATCAGAAACTTCTACATGTAGTTCATGTAATTCTGGTGAATTACATTGTATGACTTGTTATTCTGTTTCAAATAACGTTGTTTGTAGTAGTTGTGCTGATGGTTATATCATGACAACTAGTGGAACGTGTGTTTCTAAAGAGTCAGTTTCATGTAAGCAAGTATCAAAATCTACATGTTTAAGCTGTGATGATTCATCTAAATATTTTAATGGAAAGGATTGTGTTAGTGGAATAGAACATTGTTTAAAAACTAATAATGATGGAACATGTGTTGAGTGTTTGTTCTCAGAATCAGCAGAAAAATATTATTTATTAACAACCACTGATGGAAACACAATATGCTCAGAACAAAGTGATGAGTTTTGTTCCTTATATACACAAAGTGTATGTCGAAGTTGTATTGACGGATATTACAATAATCAAATCAAGTGTTTGCCATGTAACGCCACTTGTTCTAAATGTGTTAATTCACAAAACTCATGTTATGAATGTCAGTCTGGATATGTTCTTCAAGGTGAATCATGTGTTATTTCTGAAACTACAAATTGTAAGATGATGATAACCAGTGATGGTTCTCAACAATGTGCTATTTGTAATGATGGATATTATAGAGATGGAAAAGGATGTACAAAATGTATTGATAATTGTGTTTCATGTACAACTGCAAATACAGGCAGTTGTTTAAAGTGCATAGACAATTATTATTTTGACATAAAAACACAACAATGTCTTTCAATAAGTTTACTTTCTAATTGTGAGACTACAAATAGATTTGGATGTGAGGTATGTGAAGATGGATATTTCTTAAATGGTTACACATGTTTATCTTGTGATCAGACAACTAATAACTGTAAGAGTTGTAATAAACAAAATGGAAGATGTAATCTATGTAATAAAGATTTTATTTTAGATAGTGATTATAAGTGTATTTATTATTCACAATTCTCTCATTGTGTTAGTGCTGAAAATAATGTTTGTAATAAATGTGATTTCTGGTATTCAGTTGATGGAAAAGAGTGTAAGAGTTCACCAGTTTGGTGGGTTATTGTATTGGTGATTATTGGAGGAATAATATTCTTTATTATATTTATTGTACTTATTATATTTATTGTTAGAAAAACGATTAAAAGAATTAGTATAAAACATGTTATTAAAGAACAAAAAAATCAGGTTTCACACTTCCAAATGAACAAATCAAATATAGAATGGATTCCATTAAGTGGTAGATGTCAAATTCTTGTAAATAAAAGACTAGCAAATTTTGGATGTGGTGGATATGAAAAAGATGGAAATGAATTACCAGTCAATGAAGAGTCTCGAGACATTATTTGTATTGGAAATGGATATAACAGAACAATTCAACTTACCTTTATGACTGTAGATGAAATTGATAGTAAATATACATTACGATGTAATCCTGAACAAATAACTTTGAAAAAAGGTGAAGCATTTGAAGCTGAAATATATATTACACCATTATGTACTTGTACTATCAAAGAACGACTTCAAATAACATTATTTGATTTAAAAAATAATAAAAGAACAAACGAGAGTATTCAAATATATGCAGCCACTGTTGTGTCTACTAGACTTGACTATGATGAGATTCAAGAAGAGAAACAAATTGGAGAAGGGTCATTTGGAGTTGTTTTCAAAGGAACATTTCAAGGAAATAAAGTTGCTATTAAGAAAATGAAAATGGGAGATGATGAAGAAGCAATGGAAGAATTTAATAAAGAAGTTGCAATGTTAGATAAATTCAGATGTGAGTATATTGTTCATTTCTATGGTGCAGTATTTATTCCAACAAAAATTTGCCTCGTTACAGAATATGTAGATATGGGTTCGTTACAATCATTAATAAAAAAACACTCAAAACCAAATGAACATATGAGAATGAAATTAGTCATTGACGCAGCTAAAGGAGTTCAATATCTTCATTTTAATGGAATTATTCACCGTGATATCAAACCAGACAACGTTTTAATTTTCTCATTAGATGATGGAATTGAAGTTAATGCTAAGTTAACAGACTTTGGATCATCAAGAAATATTAATTCAATGAAAGCAAATATGACCTTTACTAAGGGAGTTGGCACGCCTATTTATATGGCACCTGAAATATTGAATCAAGAGAAATACACTGAATCAGCAGATATTTTTTCTTTCTCTATATTGATGTATGAAACATTTAAATGGGACCGTCCTTATCCAGAGAATGTATTTAAATATCCATGGAATATTGCGGAATATGTTATGCAAGGGAATAGATTAGAAATCGCTTCTGGAATGCCTGAATGGTACTTTTTGATTATCCAAAATTGTTGGAAACAAAATCCTTCAGAAAGATATAACATTGAACAAGTTATTGATTTATTGAGTATAGGAATGAATTGATTCATTATTAATTATATATATATATTTTTTTTTTGAGACAAATCTCAATTAGTAATGTCAAGTATTCACTAAATTTCTTCTTCCCTTTTTTCTTTTAAATAGATTTTTCTATAGAAAAATCTCTAAATATTAAATATATTTCTATAATTAGTTTTTCGACAACCATCATTACTTAAGTACTATTTCTAGAACTCTTTAAGGTTATTTCATTGTTGAATGAGCAGAATGTATCCTGGCACAGTTTCTATTAAACGTCAATCAACAAAAAGATCTTCTTTAGTGTTTAATAGAAAAAACCCTCAAACGGCTTGCCTTAAACGTTTTTCTGCCCAACTCAAAAATTCTGAATTTGTTTGTAGTGATACTCCAAGCCCATGTCAAACACCTGACATAGATGAATCAAAATTTGGGCATTGACTTGTTTATCCATTATATTATTTAGGTAATGTTTTGGTTTTTTTTAAATAATAACTAAATAAAATAGTAACGACACATTCTTAAATCAAACTATAATGATAATAGTCAAATTATGAAATTTTCAAAGGTTTTTTTTACTTTTTTTAATTGAACTTCCACTTCTTGAGAAGTTATTTTATCATTCTCATAAATATAAATCTACTAAAAAAATAATTTATCGAAGTTTTTTTACAGTTTTTTCAATTCTACATTAACGAAGCTTCTTTTAAACTAAGATTCGAAGTGAGAGATAATTTTCTTAAAAATAAATGACTCATAACAGAAACATTAAAAAGAGAGAGAAAAATTAAAAATGTAAATTTGTGATTAAACTAAATTTTCTTTGATATTTGATTGAGACTTTTTAGCCTTCTTCTCATTACATGAATTTGCTTCTGATTTTTTGGAAACAAAATCCAGTATTGACATATTATTCAATGGGCGTCGGTGTTTCAAACACTCTCTGCATAATGGAATTATCGATGTCTCATTTTCTTTGAAAATATATGTTGATTTGGCATTACAAAAAGTACAATTTGTTCTTTTTATACAAACTTTCGATGCATAAGGGATTAACGAAAACAAGGCTTTATTCTCTTTTAATTTATAGGAAATAACACCACAGACAACAACTGTCTTACCACTGTCTAACATCCTATCAATAAATGGAAATAATCCCTCTATTTTTTCAGCCCTTCTGATGAAAATATAGTCAAAATGAAGTTTATAAATCTGGCTCAACTTTTTTACACAAGCAGTTGCAATTCCTTCAAACGGTGATTTTGTGTTTTTAAAGAATGGAATTGGTTTTTCATCTGTTTTAATTTCAAATAACTTAGCACTTTGGATTGATCTGTCTTCATTAACACGTAATTCTTGAGATATATCAAGTTCATTGTCATTTGCAAAATCAAACGGTTCAAAAAGTACAAATTTTTTTGAACTGACATTGAACATTTCTTTTTTCATTAACATGTTGACTGTGGGTTCATAAGTATCATATATAAGCACAAGCCTAGCCATTTTCCTAATTTTTCTTCATAAGTCTTACTACCATATATATATGTTTGTCTTTTCGTCTCATTGTATCAAGTAATGTATTTTTTCTTTTTTTTTAAAAGTAAAAAAATTAAAAAAATTGATAAGAAAAAAAAACTATACTTTATAGTTTTTTAATAGTTTTCCTTAAACTATCAATTTGAAATGCGTGACAATCGACGCTATCCAAAACAGATATGAAAAGGGAAATTTTTATAACGAAAACCTCGAAGAGAAACCCCTTGCAAAATCTAATAAATTACCATCTAAGAAATCAATTAACAACAATAGCTATCTGAGATAAGGTATTGTTTAGGTCTCACTTAAAAGTCTCCCCAAAGGATAAAGGTGAGCTAAGTGATACTCTTGTTAATGTCACCTTGTTAACAAAAACTATAAAAGGAAAAACAAAATTTTTTCTCTTTCTTGTAAAAATAATGAAACAAACCCTAGATCTGGTAATAATAAGATTGTGAGATATAAATAGTTGCCCAAAGAATTGTTAGTTCGATTCAGTCATGAGTTCTTCAACTCAACCTTTGAGACGTGCATTTCGAACTATCCAACCTAATGTACCAAGAGTGGCTGTTAATAAAACTGTTACCATTAATAGGCCATCACTTGTATTAGATGCAGAACCATATAAATCTAGAAAACAGTACATATACTCAATTAGTGATCTTCTTTCATTTAAATCCTCTGCTGTCCCATACACTCTCCCTCTTGCTGTTATTTGTGCTCTTTCTGAGAAGTCAGAAGTCCCTTATAAAACTCCTTGTAAAAGAATTATTAAATCAGAGGAAGACCCAAAGAAATTAGATACTCGACATAAACAAGTTTCCTATGGAAAAGTTACTGAAGGATATGCTAATTATGTGAAATTTGTTCCAGTTTCTGAAAGAATTCGTGGAGACCCTAAAACTCCTGATATTCATCAGTCTTGTTCTAAAAGGTCTTGGGATGGTCAAGTAAGAAAGTGGAGAAGAGCACTTCATGCATTCGATGATATTAAAACCAAAGAAGAACTGGATGAAGTCAGAAAGAGACTTGTTGTAATTAATGCTACTCCAAATAAATTAAAAGTCCCATCCACTGAACCAATTCATAGAGCTAGAATGTTAGATAGTAATTACATTCCTCGTTCCTTAACTTTTGATGATTTGGAGTAATATCTCTATTCTATTGTCATAATTTATAAATTAAATTTTTAAAACTTTTTTGTTTTTGCCTCAGTAATTCTCTGGGATGATATTAATTTATTGGACTGAATCTTTTTCTTATGGGTTGTAATTAACTTTTTACTCGATTCTTTATTTTTTTCAAAAACTAACATGGTTTTTGAGTTTAATCAAATTTAACAATCAACCTACAGAATCGAGTAATAAAATTGATAAGATAATAAATTCAAAATAAAGGGTGTGTTATTGAGAGACAATGAATTAATTATTTTTAAAGACAAATCTGTACAAGTAAAGACAAAAGTTCAAATTTTGTATGGGTTAGTATGTGAAGGCTAGAGGGAATGATTGGAGTATTTTTAAGACTAATAAAAAAATACTTAAATAACTGAAAGAGAAATAATACAGATGGCTTTGGTTTAAATAAAAGAATAGAGTTTTGAAGAAAAAGAAGTTGAAAAAAGAAAAAATAATACTTTAGAGATATTGCAACTGTATTAAAGTAGGTATGTTTATTTAGATTGTTATAAGGTTCATTTAAATTAACTAAACTTAAGGGTGTTTTATGGATACATTCATACAATAAGGAATTTAAAACCAATTAAATGAAAAACATTAAAGAAAGTGGTAAAGTATAACTAAAAGTTAGTATTTTACTTTTGTTTTCTTTCCTTTAAATGAAAGTAATATTTATTGAAGATACTTATTTGTAAGTTTATTTTAAAAATAAGATGTAAAAGTTTATATAATAGATTATCAGAGTTTATAAGTAATCTTCATTTTAGAATATGCTCACATAGATTAAATGAATAGTAAACAATTTATTACATTTCTTTTCTGTGTCAAATAAGTTAATTTTCAAAATAATCCAATACAAGTTTAACTAGTAGTGAATCACAAATAATGTATTTCATAATTATCTTTTAATCTTTTTATTTTATTAATACTTGGTATTGACTAGTTAAGATATTTATCAACAACATTGTTTTTACTAGAAAGTTATTCATTTTCATATAAAAGTTAATTAAAGTGTTATTTTTCGATATTTGTCTATTAAAATAATTCAATAAAGAATAAACACATGTTATTAAGTATTTTTATCATATTTTTGTTTTACTTTATCATTAATTGGAAATATTTTATTAGAGTCAGTATGTATTTGTTTTATTTTCTTCCGTCAATAATAAAACAAAGTAAGTAATCAATAAGAACATGATACAAAAAACAAAAGAATGAATATTCTTTAGAAATTGCATTTATTTTTATCATAAACCATTAATTAAAACAAAACCAATCAATTTATTCTGATGAAGAATTGTTACTACCTTCACTTACCGATTCACTCTTATCGTTTACATGTTGTGGTAATGGACTTACTGTTGGTGTATTTAAATTGAGTAATGGGGATTTATCTTTATTGGTTACTGTTCCATCAAGTGGCATTGGACTTGCAGATGGTGTATTTAAGTCAATCAATTCTGTTGGCTTTTCAGTTGAGTCTGATGATTCATTTTCTTGTTTTTTCTTTTTTGCATCTTCAGCTTTTAATGTTTCAGCAATAGATGCTTCTCCTTTTGCTAATCGTTTAAGTTCTTCAGCACATCCTGATTGTTGAACCAAATTATTGAAGATTGTTGTTTCTTGTTCAATCAAATTAATTGGAGTATCCATTTCCATTAAATGACCATCATCAAATACCATAACTCGATTAGAATCCATGATTGAATGTAGTCTATGTGCAATAGTTAATGTTGTACATTTTTTGAAATTCTTTCTAACCATTTCTTGAATCATAATATCTGTTTGAATATCAATTGATGCAGTTGCTTCATCCATAATTAATATTTTAGCTCCCTTTAATAATGCTCTTGCCATACAAATCATTTGACGTTCTCCAAGTGAGAAATTTTCTCCATTTTCTGTAACTATATAATCCAATTCTTTATTTACATTAACCAATTCTAATACATGTTTCATTTCTTCATCACTCTTTTGGAATGTAGGATCAAGATTTTCTCTAATTGTTCCACTAAACATAGTTGCTTCTTGTGGTAAAATACACATTCTTGATCTTAATGTATGCATAGGAATTGTTGTAGTATCAATTCCATCAACAAGAATTGACCCACCTGCAGGTTCTTCAATTCTAAACAATCCTGCCATCATTGTTGATTTTCCACTTCCTGTTCTTCCAACAATACCTATTTTTTCTTTATCATTGATAACAGCATCTACTCCTTTTAAAACTAATGGTAATCCTTCACGATATCTAAATTGATATCCCTTTAATTCAATCTTTCCTTCTTTTGGCCAATCCTCTGGTATTTC